ATGATGAATATGAGCCTACCTCACCTGCTCATTCCAGCTTTGCACCGACGTCTCCCAGAGCACCACCAACACCAGTGATAGCAGAACCAAACATGTTGCTGCCCATGGCCCCAGCCGAGATCACTGTACCAGGTTCACCAGCCACCACTAGGTCCCGCTCACGGGCTCCTACTGTGGTCGAACCCAGCGAAGAGCCAACCATACCATCTGCAGCACCCACACCACATGCTGCATCACCACCGGCTATTGCAACAGCACCTCAAGCATCAATGTCAGGGCCTTCACTGGACCCTGACACTGCAGCATTGTATGAACCAGTCGATGCTGAAACTTTTCAACAACGACGAGTTCGCTTTAACAGACAGGAGACACTTAGTTTTGGCCCCCTGCGAAGACAGCGCATTGGGTCACCACAGCCATACAACACGACGTCACAAACAACAACACCAGAAGCAGAACACAACAGTGCAGAGCACAACACACAAGCAACAGCGGCAGCCGCAGAAGCGCCAGCCCAAGTATCGGCAGCTCCAGCTGCTTCGGATGATCCTGCTCTCTATGCAAGTCAGAAGGCACCTGATCACGCCTTGCTGAATCATGCCTTCCAAGTCTCCGGCATTGAAGCCAACTGCCTGCCAAAAGGTTGGACCTATGAGAATGGCTACTTCCAGCTCGACAAGAGAGACCGCGACTTCTGGGAAGTCAAAGCCGGATGTTTGATCAGACACCATGTGATCCCTCGACGGTCCAAGATGCGCCTGCACCAATTGCCAAAAGACAGCCCCTTCACCTCAGATCAGCTTGATCTGGTCCGGGTGACCATTATGTATGACAACAACGGCAAAAGCATCCAACAGACCGACGATGGCTACACGGCTTCCACTCCCTTGGATCGCTCATGGACTGGAGTCACGATCTTCCAGATCAAAGGCGACCTTCGTCGAGAGATGGCCATGTTCGCTAAGGCCCCACTTCAAGGAGCACGACAGCTTGGCAAGGAGACCAAACTCCGGCACGCCAAAAGCTTCAAGAAAGACAAGAACAAGAACAACCTCTCGGAGCGCCACATGACTCCTGATGAGAGAGCAGCCTTCAAAGCTGCAAAGGTCAAAGAGTTGCAATCCTTCTTTGACAACCACGTCTGGCAGTTCGAGACCACCAGAGAAGCTGAGCCCAGTCGGACGCTGACCAGTCGCATGCTGCTGAAGTGGTCAAAGAATCCTGATGGCAGCCCCCGTGCCAAAGCCAGGCTCATTGTCAGAGGCTTCATGGACCCAGACGCTTGGGAAGGAACTGTTCCAACCTCATCGCCCACAACCACGAGGCTGTCGAGATCCATGTTGTTGAGTTTGGCCTCCACCATGCAGTGGCCAATCTGGACTTCAGACATAGCAACCGCCTTCCTGCAGGGTCGACCTCAGACACGCAAGTTGTGGGTGCAGCTTCCTCAAGAGTGTTTGCAGTTGCTTGGAGCTACAGCTGACACCCGTATGTTGCTTCTCAAGCCCTGCTACGGCCAGATCGATGCCCCGAGATCTTGGTTCATGGCTGCAGTTGATAAGCTGAGCGCTATGGGCCTCCGACAGCATCCTCAAGACCCTTGCTGCTTCTTGATCTATGAAGGTGACCTCAACCCTGAGTATGACACCACAGCTGAGCACTCCAACCTGCTTGGACCTCATGGCCTATGTGGTATGGTCATCATGCACGTCGATGACATGCTTGGTTGCGGTTCGCCATCCTCCCAGTGCTACAACGACACCATCACCAAGCTGAAGAGCACCTTCAACTTCCGTGAATGGAAAACTGGTGATGATGGAAAGCCCTTGACCTATTGTGGTTGTGACATTCAGGTCAAGGATGATGGTCTCCTCCTCAACCAGACCAGCTACATGGGAAAGGTGAAACCGATCACCTACGACAAGAAGCGCAGCCTCACCGATGCGCTCAATCAGCGTGAGTTGACACAGCTGAGAGGACTTCTTGGTTCACTTCAATGGCCCGCAGTTCAAAGCAGTCCTCACTTGCAGAGCAGCACCTCGATCCTGAGCGGTCATGTCACCAAGGCCACGCTTCAGACAGTGGCCGACACAAATCGCCTGCTGCGTTTTGCAAAAGAAAATGCTGATGTTGGCCTACAGTACAGCCACCTGGGCGAAGTTTCAGAACTTTGTTTGGTATGTTTTTTTGATGCTGCCTTTGCCACCCGCAGTGACGGAGCCTCACAAGCTGGCTATGTGATCCTGATGGTCAACAAAGCTTTGCTTCAGGCCAATGGTCCCGAAGGAGCCTACCACGTGTTGGATTGGCGCAGTTTGAAAACGCCAAGAGTTGCACGCTCTTCCTTGGGCGCCGAAGCACAAAGCGGTGGTCAAGCTTGCGATGCCTTGGAGCATGCCAGCATCTACTGGAGCTTGTTGTTTGACCCTCGCCAGCGACTCCAAGAGCTCTTGGACGCTCCATCCTTGTTGTCGCCCACCATGATCACGGACGCCAAAGCCCTTTACGACTCCTATCACCGAGAAGGAGTCGGAAGCTCTGTGGTTGACAAGCGAGTTTCGCTTGAGATCCGTGTGATGAAGGATCGCCTGTCTTCACTGGGCGGTTCTTTGAGGTGGATGTCATCGGAGCGCCAACTGGCTGACGGTTTGACAAAAGAGTCGGCCAGGGCACTTCTTGCACAACGGCTACGTCACGGTCGTTTGAAGCTTGTTTGGGACCCCTCATACAAAGCTGCCAAGAAGAAGACAAAAGCTGAGCTCCAACAGAGTCTTGCTGAAAGCATCCATGTGGTACCACCACATGTGATCAATGAGGAACCTGAAAGCATCCATGTGGTACCACCACATGTGATCAATGAAGAACCCAACCCCCACGAGGAGCACCAGCAGCCCATCGACGAGAATCCTGCGGAGAATGACGTGAATGTCGATGAGCAGGTGTTTTGGAATGAAGAGATTTTTCGGAATTCCAAGGTTCCTGTGAATGTCATGTTTGCCAGGACCGACCGGAAGCTTGAGTATGTCTCCGACAGTCCGAGCCATGTCGGAAGCCGCCCGCTCGAGTCCTACCGCGGTCGTAAGACGAATTTCATGTTTTGGTTCTTGCTTTTGTTCATGGCCCCGCAGCTGGTCACGGCCGATTCGGCCAATGTGGAACCTGAAGCTGGAATGGATTGGTTTGGAACTGTTTTGTGCACCCTCCTTCTACTTTTTTTGAGCACAGCCTTCATGGTTGGTCGATGGAGCCATGATGCACACCACCGAGTACCACCCCAGGTCACTGAGGCTGCAGTCCAAAAGGATGAAGCGATCATCCCAGCTCGCCTTAGAGAAGAAGTCAAACGCCTGAAGCAGGAAGTCCTGCGCTGGAGTTCCAAAGCCGAGGAGTCCCGCCTTGCTGCTGTCGAAGCCACGACAGCGATGAATCTGGTTCTGAGAAACCAGAATGCTGCTGAGACCCTTGCACAGGAAGCCTCCCAGATCCTGAAGATCGCCCTGAGGCAGATGGATGAGCATGGAAATGAATGCCCCTTCTACAATGGCATGATCATCAGCCGGCATGGCGCCAGATGGCACACGACCTTGAACTGTTCAAGCCTGGCCGGAAGAGATGAAAGCCTGCAGCGGCGAGTAGATTTCTGCCGCCTTTGTAGTTTGAGGGTGATTCCACCTGACCTTGTCGATGATCGGTCAAGCTCATCTGTGCGGACCTTGGTCTACCAATGGCTGGACCGGTTCGAACAGCGGAACTGGGGTGATGACGAAGGACTCTCCCCCATGTAAAGTTCACGCTGTGCACTTGTGTTTCGGCAGTTCGAACTGTTTTCGACCTTCACTTACCGTCGTTCCCTCTCAAGACTGGGAGGGCAGTTGCCTTGCAAAAGGCGCGGCCGCGGCGCTTCAGTGCGCCCTCTTGTTTTCGTGTTTGCGGACTTCGGGTGCCGCTGCTACCCTTTTTCGCATATATATATATATTGTCGACAAGAAAATCACAGAAATCCACTAATATCAAACAGGCAAATAAAACATTTTTTTAAAAGAAATACACTGAAGCTTCCTGCGAATCACACACCCTTCAAATGCAAGCTCGGGCCTCGCAGTTGATGTTTTGTCCAGCGACAAAGCTTCACCGCAGAATGGGAGCCAATGATTTTGTAGCCTTAGCCAGGTAGCTGTGATCCTCTCAGGTCGGCCAGCTTTAGGATCTGAAAAACTGTTGACAAACCAAAATGTGTTCTCTGTATTTCTTGGCAGCATTTTGAGGAAAGCCTTGCAGAAAATTCCAGGCTACACTCAAAAAGCAGCCCTGTCCAAGCATGACATGGAGTCCAGTGAAATAGTGAGGTCCCAGCCCTCTTTGGTCAGCTGCGCACGGTGTTTGCTGGTAAGCATCGGGCGTTCCTACAGTGACAAAGTGGGAAAAGCTATCAGGATTAATACGGATGCTGCTGGTCCAAGTTGTTGTACAAGTTCAGGAAATGTATAAGCCGTCTCTCAACCAAAAACTAATAATAATGCAAAATGGCTGGTAGAAAATGCCAGCTTGATTTGTGTGGCTCCTTGGTACTTGCACAGCCTTCAGCAAGCTCCTCGACGTCTGACCTTGCAGCAAAATGTTGTGCGGATTGCAAAGCGTCTTAACACAAGAATCCATAGCACCTTGGTGTTAATGGTGCACTGCGAGCAACTAAGCTGCAAACGCCCCTTTCTTCTCTGCCTCACCTCCGATTTTGCTGTCATGTACGCTCCAAAACTTGCCAATAAAGAAGGCAGCCAGCTACCAAGAAAACTTAAAGCTCCCCAAACCCCACTTTACTCAAATGCCAAGCCACTCTGCCAAACGACGGAACTGAACATCAAAATCATCATCTTGCACTTGATGATCGAACAAACCGTGCAAGGACCGGCGTAATTAGGTCATTCTGAAGGTGCTTGAAATAAGAAAAGAGCAACATTTAAAGGTAACAGGCCTCATTAAAAGGGCCTTACAGTACCTCCTCATGTATTTCGCTGTGTAGGTCGATCTGCAGGCCCTTGTGCCACGCCCTTTTCCTCACGAAATGATGACTTCAAAGCATGATGCTCCGGGTCTTGCTCACTCTCAGCTCCATCCAAAGTCCACCCAAGCCCCAATGTCTCGTCCTTGTCATGCAAACATCAAATATGCCGGCGCGCTCTTAGTCAAACTAAACACATACTCTGTAATATATATATATCTTCAATGTCAGACTTGCAGCCTAAACTCTGCTACAAGTGCCTAGCTCCTTGTGGAAAAACAAGCATATAGCTGACATAGCTTTCACGATGGTTTAAGTTGCATCACAGGCACGTCAGTTTGAGAGATGGCCTCGCTGGCCATTTCCTCAAAGGGCTCGTTTGACCCGCTGATCTGTTCCTCCAAAGCCACGGACTCGTCCGGCTCTGCAGCGCCTTTGGCGCGTGACCGGCAGAGCCGCTGGATCACAGTGGTCATGTGACGCCACTTCCGCTTCAATCGCTTGGGAGATTTGCTGCTCCTTGGAGATTCAATGCACCAAAGGAAAAGGCCACAGCCAACCATGTCCAGTATATTAATATATGATTATCCGCAGTTATCCGCTATGCGTTTAGATTTTCCAGCTCCTTTATGTTCCTTTGCATAATCAGCATCGAGAACAGCTTCCTCCTGGGCTATGTCTGCTCACAAACGAAACAATACGATCGTCCGACTCAAGCCTGCCAAGGATCTGATAACGACACCAATCGATGCATGTATTCAGAAACGCATCAAATTGTGGTTCAGATCGATCTCTTGGAAGCACCATCACCAGTCCAGTTGGGCAAGAAAACACTTGAAGATGCCTTGGGGAAGCATGAGACAAAATAAGAACCTTGTCAAGGAGCCACATGAAATGAGCCTTTGTTCCATAGTTAAACCTTAAAGGTGTGTGATTTATATATAAATGTAAACTGAACTCCACAACATGGCCTGAGGCAATATGATCCCTGTCCGGCTGAGACTCTCCTGTCGTTCCACAAAGCCTTTGTAGCTGCCTCTGGTGCTCCGCCAGCGCTTTTGCCAATTGAGAAAGCGTTCCTGTTGTTGCATTTCGACCTGCATCAACATAAAGGCAGTTCCCGTCCTAGTCTTAGCAATTACAAAAGCATACAAAAGCTGGGACGCTTCATTGCCCACCCTGTCCGTAGGATTTGCCCACCTCTCTGTGAAACTCCACTTGCCCCCACTATCCAAATTCTGAGAAAAATACAGAATAATGCAGAGCGATCTGGGAATTCGCGAGATGTATAAAGTGTCCCCACCGGGAGAAACCCTTACAGTAGTTGCGGCACCAACATCTTAAGTTCCACCCGATGTCAATCCCCAAGGAATTATAGTACTGCAAGACTGAATCACTAGGAGTTGCTGCTCGGCGGCTGGAAACTCGGGGCTTCGAAACTGCCGTAGAATTTCTGCCAAAGCATCTCCATCATCTGCACGTTCATCCCGTGGGCGTCGCCGCTTTGGCTTCGGCAACGGATTCCTTAGGATTAGGCTTTGGCACTCCCACAAATAGCCGGAGTGCTTGGAAATCATGGTTCACACCAAGAAGCAAACATAAGTAAACAACTCCAAAGAACTTTAAGTTTGCCATCACACCTTTGAAACGTTGAATCCCTGGACCGTAAAGCACAGGGATTATATATATATATATGTGCAAACTCAACTTGTGAGGCCGTGGTCGAAAGGTTTTGAACCAATGATCCATGCCCACTCAAGAAACTATCATGCTGCTTGGAAGATACCAACATGGAAGAGCTTTTGCCGAACCAAAGAGTGTTCCGCGCGAACTTGTATGATCATGCTAGGATCACATACACTTTGGGTGGTTTAAGTCTTTCTCGGTCAAACACTCAAGCTCTAGTTCAGCATTTTGGTTCCGTTTGTCGCACCAAAGAATTCCAAGCAAAAATATATTTTAGAAACCTGAACACATGACTTTTCTATAAACCGCGCGATTCTACAGGTAGAGAGACAATTTGTGGTCACCCAATTCGATCACGTGCAACACAGGCTCCCTTCCAAGCCTCCTCCACAAAAGCTTGCCAGGCGTTGCAGCTCCTTCAAATTGAACTGAAGAGAAACTGTATTACTAAGGTTTGTCCTTTCACAGGGAGAACCGCGAGAATGGTCACAGTAAATGCATGATGCATCATGATGCATGACATTCTGCACTTCAACATACTTCAGCGCTTCAACTTGGCCCAAAGCGCTGCCCAAACCAAACGAACCAGGTCCTCAGCTTCCTCCAGGTCACCAGCCTCCCGCATGCTGCGCAGGGTTTGATCCAGCAGTCCAGTCAGGTCGCTTGGATCGGGCTCTTGGGCTTCCGGCTCCGCCTCCTGAGAGGAAGACAAAATGGACTATGAAACAAATGAAAGACATCGAAATCTGAGTGACAAAACATGACATTCAGATATATTCAGGCGGTGGCATGACATGGCATCCAAACTCATTATATATAATATAATATAGGCTAATATAGGTGAGTGGCAACTCAAAAGGACAGACTGCAGGGCTTCAGGAGTCAAAATCACCCAAATGTGTTCTTCCAACGGTTTTCACTGGGACATCTTGACTCGGCTACTCTCCGGCTCGGTCCTCGGTCAATCCCTGGCGCCCTGGGTTGGCCTTCGCAGCCAAGGGTGCGACCAAAGCACCAGGAGCCAGTGGCGCTCCGGCAGAATAGCCCATCCGTTGCAGCAAAGCAAAGCCCAAGCCATACTTCTTCGAGAGCTCCTCCCAACATTCAAACAACAAATCACATCAGTATTGGGGGTGGATGCTAGTCAAAAACCTACAGTAATACTGTCTACGTAGTTGTGCTTGAGTTCCACCGAATGAGTATCAAGGGGAGATCATCTCTCTGTTTCCGCTATCAGGATTCTCCCATCGATTTGCAGGGCAGTCTATGTTGCGAGAAGTCCTCCCATACTCCGTACTGTAATTCATCGGGTCCAAATTGCATCAAGTAAACATTTGCTAAATCTGCCGATACATAAATGTTCATGAAAGCCTATCCACATCAAATGTCCAAGTTTTCATAACTATAATCAGCCATGACCAATTTCCCGCTCAAGGAGAACCTTTTTGACGAAGTGTGAGCACATCATATGTATTGCAACAACACTATATTTCAATACGCAAGTTTGTCACGCTGCTCCGCATGCCTCTTGTGAGAGCGGCTCCAGTTCGTCTTTGCGCGAGTCGCCAGCCTCTTGTGGAGAGGACTCTGATGTTGCTTCCTCAGTGCTACACGCTGTCGGTAGCTGGTCAACTATCTTGAATGAAGAATCGAGCACAGTGCCAAAGTAGCTAGAGCATCAATGGCACACTTTACAGCCAACACTTGCTGACTTCAGCGCGTGTGTCTGTCGCTTGCTGAAAAGTTGTGGTTGTCCGTCCACTTCGCGCTGGCACTCGCTTTCGTCCAGAAGAAGGCGCCATGGCTCTCAAATGTGTGAAGATCGCCACTGCCAACGAATGAACAAACCATCAAACATCAGAAAAACATTTAGACACAAAAAAGTGCTGTATCCGAATCCGGCTGACCTTCGCCCACCTTATCATCTCTTGTTTCTTGATATATATATATATATATTTGGTTAAAAGAAAAACGGACAAAAAAACAACTCCGTGAGGTCTTGCAGAGTCTCGCACCAGCCATAGTTCATAGATTCTCTTGAGACATGCCACATGCAATATGTGTCTGGGGTGGCCTAGCTTTGGACAATATTTTGCAGCTATTCAGAGAACACAAGTTTCAGGGGACAATGTTGCCTAGCCAGCACGGCAGAATTAAAATTGCAGGCTTGTTTGGAGCAGCTTCTCTGACATCGGAAAAGAAGTATTACAGCTGTCCACACATCTCCCCTGGACGCCTGAGCTTACGGTGGTACTCTCTTCTGATTCAGAAGCATCGTCGTCTTCACCTTCACAGGCTGTCTGCGCACTCCTCTGTCATCAGATTGTTGATGGGAGCATTAAAATATATCAAAACATATCAAAACTACAAGCACTCTGTGCACCCTGGGGAATGGGCCAAAATCCAGCACCCCGTCTTCCCCTTCAATCGTACACAGTATATGTGTATAGATTAAAAAGACATAAAAAGACCGCGATGTTTAACTACCATGCGCACCCTCATCGACGCTACCAAACCACACATCCATTCAGAGTCTGTGCAGTATGTCTCCTGCACATGGGCCCATAAATGCGAATCAAATTCTCAACTGGGGCGTTTTGAGTTCAGCCTGCCTGCCAGATCCACAGTGTTGGAGACTGCTGCCTACAGGAAAAAATCACAAAGGGTTGAAGGGGCATAGGCGGCATAGGTTGTAAAAACTGCAAATGGTACGTTACTTGCAGGATTGATGTTCAGGGAAGATTCATACGTGGAGACTTAGCTGATGGCTTTCTATCTCAAACGGAGGGGACTCCCGACCAATGGCCGCATCTCATCTATTGTACTGGTCCATCTAATAATTTGAAACACACCAAGCAAATCCGCCTTACTCCGCCCCTGATCTCCTTCCGCTGCACAAGAAATATTGAAAGTGAACATGGAACCAGTCACAGCTTCGCACCTCAGCAGCTTCGCGTCCCTCAACCCCGATGGCCTTGCAATGGGCAATGTTGAAGCTTGTCTTGGTGCTTTGCTGGCCAAGACACCTCTCAAAAGGTCTATTCTACAGGAAAAGATGTGGTAAGGTGGGGTGCAAACACGACCTTCGTGCCGATTTATAAGATCCTTGGTAAACACCGAGAAAGGCGGTGCCAAAAAGACAGGCTGAAGCACACTGTGGCGGGTGAAGCTAGAGGTGCGCACATATGTCAGAAAGCAACCGGCGCAATCCCAGCCTGCTGCGGGTTTGTACCCCGCAAGGCTACCTTTGGACCATTGCAGGTTGTGATCAAGATGTCTATCAGCAGCAAAAAATGTGCAACTCAAGTTCAAAAGTCCAAACTACACGATTGCATATTGCGTCACAAAATGCGAAATACTTTACTGTATATCGCATTTCAATGGCTGCCCTGTACATACTGACATACTGCATGGGCCCACACCCTACGCGCCTCTTTAATTCTCTCAAAACTTGTTCCAATAACAATGCAAATTTCCAGTTCAAGGACCTGTTGACTATTGTCACAGAGCCACTATGGCCATGTACTGGGAGAAGCACCGAAACGGCAGCATGCAACTCCTCTTTCCAAGCTGCTACCTGGCAGATGCAGCAGCAATTGCAGGAAAACTATCCTATTCTCAGTCTTTAGACTCAGTAAATTGTAAACTACTATCAGGCAAATTCCCGCTCCAAATCGCACTCCGAATGTGGCGTCCTTTGAATTTGCCCCATAAACACATCAACAAAGGCCAACCGACCTGATCTGCTTGTTCTTGGGTGTCAGTCACCTCGCGCATGTCAACATCGGGCCGTGAGAACAGGCATTAGGTTTGCTTAGTCTGCTAGTAGGTTGGGGGCCATCGCTAGTAGGGTGGAGTCCATCGCCATTAGGTTGTCATGGCATTGCCCTCGTGGCGAACGGGTGCCCCTCGGGCGCCCTGGCTCGTGTAAGGCGTGCCACCCGCTGGGCGCCCATCGCAGCCAAGGCACCGTCTGCACGCACCTGGCGGATTCCAGATTCGCCGGTTGACGGCGCAGCTATGTCTGCAGTCGAGAAAGCGCATGCAATCTTGGTAACAACTGCTTGTACGTGTGGCTCCTCGTAATTCATCATAATTCCAGATGTGCGGATGTCAAAAATCCTCCTGTAATCCAACATAGATTTGAGGATGCCTCATTGTTTTCCACTGTTTTGGACTTTGGACTTCTGCATGGAGAAGTTATTGCTCTCTTTCGATGGTTCATACCTTCCCATTCTTGTAAGGCACCACTTTGGGGAAACGTTGGGAAACTTCTATTGCTTCCATGGTACCTTTTGCAAATTATATTTAAACATTGAAGGCAGCTCTTCTCTTGTGAGACTCTTGCATTCTTTATTATTGCGGCTTTTGACACTGGCTAAATGGTGACGGTCTCTTGTTCGAACAGTCACAGCGTAATATGGTTTCTTTAAGACATTTGAAGACTAAGAACAGCACCGCTGCTGTGCAGAAATGCCCAGCGGAAGCCTTGAGAGACACGCCAAAAAATACAGGCTCCCCAAAAGCATCAATAAATCAAGAAAGTGGTGGAACCAACACATCAAGAGCCGAAACAGTGATGTCTTCTTCCCAGAGTTGAAGACATTACCGTTCGACCAATTGCACTTAAGACTTCGGTCACTTCAGTTCAATAATGATTCCAACACACACCGCAATGCCTGGATGGCGCTGTGCCGAGGTTCTGACATACACAGAGCTTCCAAAGCCCAAGACTGCCTCAAGGCATCGAACACTGCTCCATCCGTTTTAATTGACGCTGGTGAGGAACCAACGCTCCATTTTCTTCCCAGTCTATCTGGAGTAACATTAGTACACCACACCAAAAGTCTTCAAAATGCGGGTAGTGTCTTCAATGGGCAGCATGCAAAGTGAAAGCAACATAAGCAAGGGAACTCGCAAATCTGAAGCAAAAGAGGCGCAACAATTGCCGCAAAGAAACAAATTGCCTTGATGGCACTTGGGTAGTTCTGTGGTAGGCAAATGGTTCCAAACCAGTTGTCGGAAAAAGGCAATAGGAGCTAAGCTTTCCACAAAATGCAAGTGCTTCATGGCAGACCTCCCCACCCTGAAGTCATGCACGTGATCCGCCAGCAAAGTACCTAAGATGTGACTCATTAAGGCAATCGACACGGAGAAGCTGTTCTATCTTGAGTCTTGAGTGATTCCTCATCCGTTCAAACACTACATTTTCGCTGCATGGGGATGCTCAGCTTGCTTACCAAAGTGAGCACAACTGGGAGGTAGGAGTCCATCACTGTGAGTGGACCTCAGAGTCAATCAGGGATACTTCTTGCTGCGGCGAACATAATGCCCAACAGTAAACGTTAAAAATACAAGTATATAGTAGAACAATCCTGCGCCGTTCTGTTACTTGATAATATGAACTGAAATGTGAACCTGGCCTGGCAAAGCAAATGCACACTCTCCTATCCTATCTTATTATCTAGGCTGCTGACAGAAGCAATACTATGATCTCGGTGTCAACCTGAATCAAGAGAGAAAGAGATAAGAAACCGAGCTGCGCGGCTAGAATATGCTAAAACCTGCTCCAGCTAGATGCAGCAAAACAACTTGAGCAAACTTGAGCGAAGGCATAGCTGTTCCAAGATCGTTCACATTCGTTCAGAGGAGAAAAAAGCCTCGCCTCTGCCGATCCTCAGGTTCTATATAGGCAGTCTAGATTGTGCACATAACAACTGCCATGTTCATATAGGAAAGCTTGTTCTGTATCTGCACTAAAGTATTGATTGATATTTTGTTTGGAAGTCTTGACATTAACTTGGGCACCGGCGGCTAAGCAAAGTGTCAAAAGCAAAGGTGGAGAGATCCTCGAAGCAAATTTCCAGCGGTGCCTTCAACGAAAAGCATCCAGAATTAAGCTCTCAAGTAAGTGATGGGATAAATCTTGCGGTTCAGGAGTCCAAAAGGGGGTGGTCCCTTCGTTGATCATATTCGACTACCCAACATTGAGCATTCCACTGTCTTCTTAACTCAAAGAAAAGAGTCTCAAACAGAAAAGCTACTAGGAGCAAGGACGCTACTAGGCTCCTGGCATCACTACTAGGAGCAAGGACGCTACTAGGGGCTCCTGGCCGTACTACTAGGAGCAATGTTCGCTACTAGGGGCTCTTCTTCAGTGTCTCATGGCCAAAACATCCACAGAAAGTCTTTCACATTGGCCTCGGACTCCTTCCGAAGCTCTTCAGCCAGGGCTTCAGCCTTTCAAACCGCAGTTTTGTCCTTTCTCGACACCAAATGAGCAACCAGCGCATCTCAGGACGCTGCATATCTCTGAGATGTGCCTGTCATGGAAGCGTACCTTGAAAATATCATTCTCCACTGGGTGTGGCACTCATGTTGTTAAACTTCTTGCTCCTGTGAGCCTATGTGTCTATGTCTTGGTCCGGCTTGTCAGGAGAGACTTGGAAGATCTAAGAAGATCAAACTAAGATGCAAACATCAATCTCAAGCGAACAACCTGAGCCAAATAGGCATCCCGTTGGGTCTTCCTTGTATATAAAACCAAACGACTTTGTCAGTTTGCCTGAAAGAAAGACTTGCAGATTCCACATTCGAGAATTCATCTACGCCACGTGCATAATGACTCACAACTCACAGCAGTTATTTGGTTGAGCAACAAACCGTTGTCAAGAAACACCCCCATGTTTAGTCAAAATTCTTTGCTTTGACCACCAAGGTCGCAACAGAAGTCTTCTGGCATCCTTTGGCCCGCCTGTACAAGGCCCAGGTGGTAACACCTGAGCAAACGAGGCGAAGTCGCTGGAGCACCTTTGGCCTGATGGCCGCTGATAACCGCTGATGATCCTATGGTGAAGGCGTGCAGCGCTTTATCTTGTGCTTCTCTTTTCAGAATCTGTACCGCCAAACTCACCTCTCCAACGGAGAGCGCTTCAAATGTGGTACCCAAGCAGTACTCTGGTCCTGAAGCATCACTCCTTTTGTCAGGAGTCGTTCGAAAGCACTCGTCCGGCAACTGCCTGAAACGTCAACACTTGATCCGAGTCCTATCAGGACTGTGGGGTCCACATCTTCTTTGAGGCAATACCGGTACTTGCAGGTTTGCTTCACAAACCGGAAAGCAGTGGAAAGAAGGGTTGGGGAATGTCGAATTGTCCTTCTCCCTCACACTTCCAGAGATTGGTTCTTGAATTGCAAAATGCCGTCAAACATCCTTCCCGGCACATGACAGTTCATCCAGGTCTTGACTGTACAGGCCCACCCTCTTCACTTCAGCTGAATGCTGCAGTGGAAAGTAAAAGCAGTGAGGTAGGCACTTTGACCACTTTCCTAGGTATGTCTCAAATCACAAAGTAATTACGGAGGCTCAACATTATAACATGTCCCATCAAACTTTGTGAAGTTATTAGTCCCCTGTTTTGAAACAAACCCAGCTTCCGTTTCAACAGGAATGCTGGCCAGAACGAATTGAAATCTTTCTGCGCCCGTCATGGTCACTCTTGGAGGCTTCGGAGGACGAGGATGACATGCTTCAAAAGAATAGATTTGGTTCGGTATAAGATTCCGATCTGAAAGTCGTGGGCCACACATCATCGGGCTCAAACGAGAATCTCAGTTGTTTTTTGGGTGTCAGCGGCGAAGGTGTAGTGAGCAACTTCCTTTGCATTGTACAAAGGTACGAAAATGTCTGCAAAGCCATCATTGTCCACATCTCCGATGGAAGGGCGACCAATGTCTGCCCCCAAGTCTGCAACTTCCTCCTTGTGGTATGTCCAATTGTCGGAAGACTGCGAAATCGGAGTCAGCAGGAAAATGCCTGTCTCCAACAGTTTTCATCTCTATTGTCATGTGCAAACGAAAGCGCTGTCATAAGCAAAACATGTACCTAGAGAACAACATAAGAAAACAACAACGCGCCGATCGCGCCGATCGGGTGGTTCGGCGCACCTCCAATGATGTAAAAAAGCTTGGAATTCGAGGATCAGGACTGTTGTTCGTTGGTGCACGCAGTCATATATCATGTCATCGACAACCCATTCCCCCCGCCCCCACCCACCCAATGTTAATCACACGACTATATAATCGATGACAAGTTCTATGAAACCGATGACAAGTTGATGTCGATGACAAGTTCTATCGTACTGATGACAAGTTCTATGAAACTGGCGACAAGCTGATGCGGATGAAAAGTTCTATGATACCGAGGACAAGTTCTATGATACGATGGCAAGTTCTTTTAAACTGATGACAACCTATGACAGCATTACCACCCACACTCCCCGCTCCCGATGAGATGGTTTGCGCACAGTCACAAAACCCTGCGCGCACCAGTATAGAAGCTCCAGACACCCGATTTCCATGCGGACTTAACTGCACGCCGAACCCCCATCCGATCGAAATAACAAACAAACAAACAAACAAAACAATCAATCAATCAAGCAAGCAAGCAAGCAAGCAAGCAACATGCAAACAACGCCACCCAGCTGACTGACTCTACTCGATTATGAGTATGGTTGTCATCGTGAACCCTACTGCGGGCCTTGATCAATCAAAGTATCCAAAAGTTACGGCATGTCTTTCACAGTTCTTGTATATATATATATATATGTATGATCTTATATGCGCGATTTGCTGTCAAGCCGCTGTTCGAGTTGTCGCCGGAGACAAAAATATGTGGCTTGGTGCCAGTTTCATTGAGCAAAGGATGAAAGGGCAAAGCATCACCTCCACCACAGGACTTGAATTGTCACTGCATGGAAAACCCGTGAGAAATAATGCAGTGGGACCTGAGATTGATGCAATGTAAGAGCTAATCATTTTGTGAGATTCGTGTCCTCAAAACACATTAAAACACTAGCTGAGGCTGCTATCAACAGGGGCATGTTGTTTCGGCAAGAAATTGAATCAAGGGAGAGTCAACGATCACTGGATTTCAAACAGTTCATCAGTTCATCAATCTGGCAAGGCAGTTTCTAGCTGCAGCACCTTCAGTTTTTGAACATCAGAGCTCTCACATATCACCCCACCTGGAGAGCCGTTGCCCTTCTTCACCTTGCTGGGTGTGAAGCCTGAAGCTAGAATGTGACGGGAAATGCTGGCAGTCTCAATGTCATCACTGCTGAAGGTGTAAGCAAAGACAGAGCCATTCTGCATCGCATGATTGGTGACTAGCAGGTCCAAATGCCCGTCCTCAGAAAGTTGCCCACGCCAACTGAACGACCCATTGCACGACCCATTGTACAACAATTACCCTCATACCAGGCGAAATAAACACCAATCGAACTCCAATCGGACGTGGAACGCGACAAGTGTCATTATTGAGGTCACTCCAGGAGCAAGAGAAACCAGGGCCAATGCTAGTGTCCAAGACCCTCTTCTTCATCTTCTTGTCCTTCATGAACCAGTACACGACCTGACACTTTGGATATTTGGCAAAAATTATGTCATTGTGCCAACCTGCATGCCATGTCCAGGTCACCAACTCGGTCTTCAGCAGAGTTTAGCACTCCAATACATGGACAAATGACAAAGATCCAGGCACTCAAGCCTTTCCAGGTACCCTGAAACCAGGGATGGCCAAACCGGAAGGCAAGGTTCTTTGCCAGGGAGGCATCGAAGGTGCCATTCCCCTTTTTTTCGGATTCTATCCTAGTAGCTTCTTGTTACTAGTAGTAAGGCCAGGAGCTACTAGTAGCTTCTTGCTCCTAGTAGCGATGCCCTTGTTCCTAGTAGCTATTTACTCCTAGTAGTATGGCACTATTTATTGCATTTTGGCCGGATCCTGCAGGCCAGTGCTGGCCGCACTACGGACTTCGTTGACTGATGCTGGCAGCGTGTTTCTCTATGGGGGCTTTGATCTGTATGTGTGGACCAGATAGTCCAGAATGCAAACGACGCAACTGGATCGTCCGATGCAAGTGGAAGGGAAAACTCATATGTTACATTATAAATACATATATATATATAACTTATAACTATATGTAGATATATGTATACACAATAGGCCATCTCAGCTTCTGAAACATACATTGTACACTGTACAGTTTTGGCGCTGAAACTGAAACCACGGTCTATGTATTCATCTACAGTAGGTATTCACGGATTGCCTTGCAACTGTTCAGCTCGGTAAGAAATGGATGCTGAAGTGGCAACCATGTCAATTCGATGGCACCTAGTTGCCACACCAAATCAACCAACATTTCTTCGCGGCCTGGCCAGTAATGAACTCGGGCGCGACCAAGGAGAAGGGCTTTCCAGGTCTCACGCAGAAAAGGAAGTCTGGACCTTCACCCATGGGATGCTCTTGCCAAGAGTCCCCGGACAATGCATCCTGCGGTTGAGTTAGTTTTGTTCGTAAGACACTTTCTGATCAACACATGATATACAAACATTTATAGTCTCCAGTCCTTTGAGGGCTGCTTCAACCAGACCAGCTCGCCCTGTTTCTTCGCCCATGGCCACACAGCATACCTTTGCTTGTTTTGACACGACAGCAAAGAGAGGAGCTGGTAAGACACTTACAGCTCTCGACACTTAAGGTATGCACCAGCCAGTTCTCTACAATGAGCAGGCCACAAACAATCAAAAGGGGTAGTGGAAAACAAGATCAGTGTACACTAGTACATTTGCGGTTGCAGCCGGCAAAATTGGAGGCCTCATGCCTTGCTTGCAAGGCACTGGCATCTGGCTGTGACCACGTCTAGTAAGCCGTCGCCATCAATATCAACGAAGTGAGCCTGGATTGCTGGCTGAAAGCTCTATCAGTTGGGGATCGTGGAGGCATTATATAACGCCAACTCCACTTTCAGTGTCCCAATTGAGTCCATGATGATAGCATTGGCCTGAAGCCTATATGTTGGAATGGCAACCTAGGCCTGGTGGTAGAACCAGCCGCTTCTGTCTTGGGAAATCTTCACCTCAGTCAGTATCTGACGCTGGCCCTGCAGAAACAGCCCAAGGATGCCCAAGGCACTTCTGGTGCCCAAAGGTGCCATGTCAAATGAAATATCACAACAACTCAGATGATGCGAAAGCGCAACACATTCATGCGAGCTTGTAAAACAATTATATACCTCCCTTAACTTCCAAGCATCTGGTTGCTTCAAGGTCTGCGGCTCTGGGGAGGCCTGGGTCAGTGAATCTGATCATGTTACAGCAGCCAGCATTCTTTCAAAAATCATAGGTTTGGATCAACGCATTCTTCACTGAATACAACCTGTTCCTCTACGTACTGTACCTTCCAAGGAAAATATGCTATAAGTTAAAATCAAGAATGCACATGTATAAAAGCTTTAACTTAATATATGTAATGTATCATATAGTAATATGATATGTGTATATCTACTTGATTCCACTTGTATGCGGAGAGTTCGAGATGACAGTTGCTCTTTAGGTACTGGAAGAACCTCCCAGCAAGTCACACATCACAAAATTACACGGTGACTTGATATGCTCGCTATTTGAGACCCTATGCCTCACATCTCTCTGTAATACTGTCCAGAGAGAAAAAGGACATCTGCAGACACATTGGATTCTAATGGCTCGGGGGTCAAAGTGATGAGAATTCAACGTGGTGCCTTGGTGTGTCTCAATAGATCTCAATAAGGACCTTTGGGATGACAGTAGATGTCATGCATTCTGGCAAGTCCTGGTGATCTATTACACTGTATCAGGATCTTGTTTCTAATAGCTTCTTGTTCCTACTAGTAAGGCACCTGTTACTACTAGCGTGGCACCTGTTACTAGTAGCTTCTTGTAAGGCCATGTATCAGGATCAGTGGTCATTTCCGGTGATCTGTGGTGTCTGGCGATCGCCGCTGCGCCTCCATGATCCAAACACCACCTGTGGTGTGTGAAGGCACGAGGAAGCCATCACCCAAAGCCACCGCTGGGAAGCCAAAGACCTCCGCTCCAACCACGGTGATGCCTTGGAGGACCATTAACAAACCAGGTGCTGGAATTGGTGGTGTAGCAAAAGCAACTCACTTGTCTTGGTCTTGATTATGCGCTCACCCTTCGGATCTCTTTAGAATTTACTGAGCAAGCATCATTCACTCACAAATCAATTGATACTGTTAGACTTGGAGTAATCTTCCAACAGCCCGCCAGATATATATATATTATATATATATACTTATACTATTGTATGCTCTTTCTCACAAACACCAATCCCTAATATTGGAGGCAAGGCTCTATTGGGCCAGTTAATCGCATTGCTTCCCGGGAGTTCCTCTGCATTCACCAACGACTGGTCAACACCCTTGTTCTTAAGTTTCTTCTGGCTGCTGGGGCATGGATCTGGCAGGTTGTCAAGCACTATAACTATTCCAAACTCCTCATCTTACCCCGAATAAACCGAGGATCCATGTTTCTGGCCCAAAACTGCTACGTATTGCAACATGTTTGCTGCTGAAAAACCCTGATTGCTGGCAAACAGCAGCAGCTGCATGGCTGCATGTTGTTTGTAATCCCACTGTTCGCTCGGCATATGCCACCCATATACTGTAACATGAATATGTTTCCAGCATACTGCTTTACAGTTCCTGAGATCTCCTGAGCATCGTCCAGTCATTGCAACTATTCAGCCCTCGTGCGACCAACAACCCGTTCAACCACAAGTCCTGCGCAGGGCCAGAGGTCTTGCCAACATCAGCCATGAAGACACCTCAGATGTCCAGCCCATCCAACAAGCCTTTAAGATCGTCTATATGCTATATAGCTATATATTATATATATAACTCAATGGCGCACAACTGGCAGTGTCATTATCCGAATACTCACGCATCTTGAGATTTTGGACCACACAGAAAATGCCGGACATCCTGTTCTGCCACGGTGCCATTCTTGCCAATGAAGGGCGTTGCTTCGAAACTCGTCACCTCAAAGGTGCAGTATTTTGCTTAGAGAGCGTCTGCAGGTCCCAGGTGTCATTTGATATGATAGGACTCTGTTATCAATGTATCACTACCTAGCCTTTGCGACCTGCTGCAGAAACTAAAGGTCGTCCTTGAAGTCTAAGTGTCGAAATGCACTTCCTCTCACAAAGGCTTCTGAAAAGGCCCTTGTTCCATCTTGTTCCCTCCACTGCCATTCTCAACATTTCTCAACTGTGTCTGAGGCAAAAAGGAGTCCACACTGGGGTGATATGCAATGGTAGTCCACACTGGGATGCCCAGCAACAAGCTTGCCCGGCAAGGACGGCGACAAAGCCTGTGGCCCCAAACAAAGATTTCTTGATGAAAAGAGAGACTATCAGAAGGATCACAGGAAGGATACTTCCAAAGCAAATCCAAATGTTCGAAGGTACTGAAGTGGCAAATTGGCAAACAGCCCAAGGAAAGACTTCTCAGCTAAATCTTGTACAGATCCTTTCATTCTTGGTGACTCCAAAAGCACTGCGAAACACACACAAAACTCGTCAAAGATTGAAACTTGTCTGGCCAAGACACAGTGAAACCGGGTGGGATGGGTATCGAAATGTTGTCCTTGGCGGGATGAGAGCAGTGCAAGGTTTTGCTAGAAGGAAAGAACATGCTTTTGCTTTCTCCACGATTTTGAGAAGAATGCAATCCTCCAGTGGGACCTCTCAATTAGCAGCTACGGCATAGATCAATCTCGCTAGAATTCCGTTGGCAAGTGATCACTGTGGTATGTGTCTGCTGGTTTTGTTAGAGGCTGACCACATTGACTTCTGTAGAGCACTTGACAGGGTCTTTGGAAGCCAAGAGCTGGCTCACCAACTCGCACCAGCCACATGCTAAATTCAACGCTGAGAAGTCACGTACCTCCCATCTTGACTCATTGACACATGACATGTGTCCTACGCACAGAACAATGCCTTCGATATGACCCCTGCTTGAAATTGAGGTCCTGACCCTGATATGCAAATCATGGGAAAAGCCAGTTGTGGGCGCCAGCAAAAGCAGAATCCTGCTGATGTGAATCCACACGACGGCTTCAAGACTGGCCTTGAATAAATGGCACCAACCTTTGCCAAGCAAACCGTTGTGCCACCAATGTGAAATTCTCTAAAACATTCCAAAACCTAACTTCTGAGCAAAAGGACATGTTTTGTGCATCTGCTCATCCAGTAGCAACTCCCTGACAGCTCAGCGCCTGCTGTCGAAGTATTGATGCAATATTTTGATAGCTTCCGGATTCGATAACGCGATGGCATTCAAGCACATGTAAGAAATGGAACATCGACAAGTGGTGAATAGATGATCAGTCCTCCAAGCCATTGGATCTCTTCACACAAGCAATTGATGTTGAGCCAATACTGCGGTCAAAGCATGAGATTCTGCGCGTACATGTGTGAACGTGCACATAACTGCTTGATCTGGAGGTTCGTTGCAGGTTGTCATCACGATAAATCCTCAGCTGAATCATTAAGCACAAGTAGGTTCACCCTCCAAACGTTGGTCCGCTCCGTGCTGGCCCTAATCGGGTTTAAAGATTGTTTCAGCCTATGCAAGAGAGATGTAGCTTTTGAGGAGTGCAGAATAGGATGACAGTCGCGGTAACATATTTGATCTCCAGTTAAATGATGCCAAGAGAGTGCCAAGAGCCAGCAAGTGCGTGCGCAAAGTGCTCACCTTGCTCAAAAATGATCAAGCTGGGTCGCCATGCCCACAGCAGCAGCTATGCCCAAGGCCACACCAGTTGCAACTGGCCTGTCAAAGGCGAATGTAACATGCTTGCATCATCAAATGCACAGCCAAATGATGCATTGTACAGTAAGAATCCGTATTCATCCTGTATACAGTATACATACTGTAGTTAGATAGCATGCTAATTGTTGTATACAGTATACAGTATATATAATATTTATATATCGAAAGAGAGATAGTTCATGATAGTTTCGTAGCCGAAGAAAAGATCAGGTCAAGCTTCCCTGAAGATCTGGGCAATCATGCGAAGGGTTCTATTGAGCGTGGCAGTCCCTAGTACAGTAGCTTGAGCTACGAGTCTCTCTTAGCTAGGACAGCTTACCTTCTTACGTCCACCATATCATCTGGTGTTGCAGCAACCCGAATTCACAGTACTGAGCACCCCACGTCTTGGACGCCATTGTTGAAAAGGCAAACCTCGATCAAGAGTGAGCACGGTCCGAATCATGCCGTCCAAATATGTCCGAATTGTTTTTCAATACATTACGCGAGCGGCAACATTTATTGGTAAGCTATGCTAAACTCTATCGGATATCTATTATGCGGGGGGCCCTATCTCGTTCACAGCGAATACTGATGTTGGACAAACAAATTGCCAGACTAGTTTAGCAAAGAAAAACTAAAAGTGGCTGCTCATGTCGTGAAGGGTGTCATGTTCAAGGGAGCCGATTACACCACCGGCAACCCTCACTTTGGCACACCCCACAGGTAGAACAATCCTGCCATTTTGTGTAGTTCCCAATGTCAAAACCTTGCCGTTTTGCCATGAGGCTCAGGTACTGGACAGGGCCGAGCGATCAAAACTCGGGACGGACTGCTATGTTGTCGTTCCTTGTATTTCTTGTGCGCTGTCACAAATTGGCAAACTCTCATTGCCTGGGACCAATCTGTTGTGGACTAGACTGCTGGCTCTGATTATGTGCAACAAACGTCCATCCTGATTGAGATCTGTCACCTGCTTGCTGGTTTGGCAATCCTATTTTCTGCTGGCAAGATTTGCAGGCATGAGTCATGAGGCTGAAAGCTACAACGCTACATTGAGCCGAGATGTCAGTTGTGCTGGATTCTGCACTTATGCCAGAGATGACCCGAGAGCGAGGAAAGATTCGGCAGCAGTATGCACGTCACACGTTCCATGAGCAGGTTTCTAGCCCAAAAATATCACCAAGAGCGGACCACACGACGCCCAACCAGCAGCGAACTCTCTTTTAGCTGCCTTGATGCTGCAGCCAGATCTAGGAGCTACATGGCTCCATATTCACTTGAACTACCAAAGTGCGATTGGATGCTCCTGAAATTCGCACCCAATTTGTACAATAGTTGATGTGACATCTCTGACTGACAAAAAAGTTTGCCGCCCACCGCCCCTTGCAGATCAATATATATATATATATATAAACAATTAAACAATGATGAAGTGTGAGCCCAACCCTCGTGCAGTCATTTGGAGTCTACACCTAGAATAGCCAAATGAGCAATCATCGCACATATCCGCACGCATCCACCAGTGGTTGGAGCTCCGATCCTGCTCGAAGAAGGTTGCATCGGCGGTTTATGCCTTGATGACCCTGAACATTTCCAAGTTGCAAAAAAACACAGTCGGACCAGAGTCGTCCAAGAGAGCCATCAGGTTATGCATGGTTATGCTGTTTTGCCAACCGTTGGAGCTTGTCAAGGTCAGTCACGATGCAAAACAACAGCTACAATTCATCTGACTGTATCGATGCTCCCACTTCATCCAGGTTGCATCCAAAAGTAAAAGGTGTTCGAAAATCATACTCATGCAGCCAAAGGTTTGCAGTCAGCTTAGTCCCCTCATGTACACTTTGTGCCTCATGCTCTGTACGTTCGTCAGTGCTCAAATCATCTCGTACGTTGGGCCACCACAAAGCAAGTCCCGCTTCTGCTTGCACCTTCGACTTTCAAAGGAGGTCTCATATCAACCCCCAAAATGGATTACCCACCATACGTTTAGCAAACTGTATATAAACAAATAATTCTTCGAGCACTTGACACAACCAGCTGACATTTTTCACACCTTCACTCCGAGCTTCGGGAAATAGGTGGCGCCACCTGCTTCTGGAGTTTGCAAGTAGAGAAAGAATGTTGAGAGCCGTACGCCAACCAAAGAATCGGCTTTGCTGTTTTGGTCTTGATGTGGCCGATAGAACTGGCCCGGCTCATATTGGACAATCTGGAAATACTCCTCAAGGTCGGCAACGAACAATAATGTTGACATTGCAAAAGCCAGTGTTCAAATTCCACTTATGTATGATTGCACGGTTGTGGAGTCTCCATCAACTCAAAGCCATAGGTAGACAAAATATGCAAAACAATGCAAAACACATTTCAGTGCAAACAAAGATCAAAAAGGTCCAGTCTATACAGTTCTTCAATGCGCTTGGTGGATTCTGTGACCCCTGAAACGCAGCTGCCAACCTGATTTTTACTATCCTTGTGGATGGTGTTCATCTACATTGATGTTATATAACTTTAAACAAAACAGTAGCTGTATCTGGGGACCTCCCTGTGAACCACGCCTGTTCTAAACATTGAAAGGCTTCCCTGACTGACTGATTGACTGACTGACTGACTTATATATTATCAAGGCTCTGCATGCTCTTTGGGGATCCCCGTGATGTTTACCACTCGCTGGTGCACTTTCTCGATCAAAGGATCACCTGGCACAGTGTATGGAACATCAAACCCAAATTTTGAATCGCAGGACTGGATCTTGTCGTTCCAATTTCTTTGTTGTATCCAACGACAAGCTCAACCCCCTAAGACCAATGTGCCTGCATTCATGTTCAAATCGAAACCAAAGATTTCTAGGATCCCCAAGAATCCGAATTTCACATGAGTCAATTGAGATAAGATACACTGAGGCATACAAATGATTCACCCAATCATGCAGCTTGGAAAAGATCGCTAAATAGTCCAAATATATACAAAAAACCAAGTGAAACAATGCCATTGAACTCCTAAGGTGCTTCCTGGGACAAGTGGCTGAGGCAAGGATCTGTCACGCACCACATCTGCATGGAGGTTCGATCATCACTTTCCTCTTGGCCAGCCAGAGAACGCACCAAATTTGTACTGTGGCGTTTGAAAGCAGCGATTTCCTGCCAAACAAGCGAAGGGTGGGTGCCTCAGAACTACAATGCAAAGATTGTAGACCTGGACACAGAAGCCTCTATGGGCTAAACAAATGGGAGCCAGGTTCAATCTCCAAAACGTGCCAGCACAGACCCCAAACAGCTTTGTCGGCATGAGTTGTTGTTGTGGTGGTGGGCGGCCGCAGCCTCAGCCCCTGCCTCGGAAAGCAATGTAAACAGCACGACAGCAGCAGGACAACAGAAAGACCAGAGGAGGACATGAGGAGGACAACAGAGGACAAAAGGATGAGGGAAGGAAAACAACACGAACACACCAAGAGGACAAAAGAAGGACAAGCTGTCACCGGACAACACCAAAAGGACAACATGAGGGGAGCATGCCAAGAGGAGAACAAGAGGAGAAAAAGGAAGAGAGGACAGGAGAAAGACAGGACGACGATACGACCAGAGATAGGCTGGCAGCCGCTGCCAATGAAAACCTGAAGAAGGACAACAAGAAGCCAATAGAAGAACATGAGGAGGACTGGACCAAAAAGACTGACCTGAAGAGAAAAGAAGGACATCCGGACAGGGCTTGCCGGCGCGGCCTGACACTGTGGCCAGCTTCTGTCTTCCTACGAGAGAACCCCGCAAGAACAGGACAAGAGGACGACAAGGAGAGGACAAGGAAAGGAAATCGGCTTCTGGGGTTGCTTTCTGGAGTTGTCTTGCTAGCGCCTCACTGCTTTGTAGCGCACGCTTGCGTGTTGTCATGTTTACATGCTGACAGGTGCCACGTGGCCATGCTGCGGTACTGCGGTCTTCGTGCTTGCCGGCTGACACTTTCCGACTACAGTAGGTGACACAGAAGGCTTGCACGTGTGCAATTCTTTTCTTGATTTTCTCGCATTGGACCCTTTGATTGCGCTTGAGGGCGGTGCTTCGCGCGCTGTCATGGTGTCATGTCTACTGCCATGCAGGCATCTGGACACCAGCAGAACGACAACAAGGGGACAACAGGAGAACAAGAAGAGGACAGCCGGAGGACAAGAAGAGGAAAAAACAAAGGACAAAAAGAGGGCAACAGGAGAACAAGGTCTGGAGATCGGCTGGCAGCCGTGGCCAAGCTGCACACCAGAAGAAGGACAAGAGGACAACAGGAGGACAACGCCCGGACACAGAGTTCACCGGCGCGGCCAGAGGCTGTGGCCAGCTACTTTTTCCTAAGAGAGAACTCCAACAGTAAACTGTTTGGGGGCAAACAACAACCAACGATAACCAACGCTTCTCTCCTCCGCTGTCAGGAAGTGTTCAAAGGCCAAGATCCATGGATCTTCGTACAACACGTCGCTCGCATAGATCTTCGCTCGTCGGAACAATGTGGAAATGGTTTCACCCGGTGGTAAGGCCGACAATCCATGGCGTGAGCACTTCTTACTAGACCAGTCACACGAGTTGCAACTCTGGGCGCAGTTCACCTACAGCCAAGCGTACCAGTACCAACCCTTGTGCCTGATGCCAAGCCCGGATTGAGAACAAATATGAAAAAATGAACAAACCTATCTGTGAATTTGGCCATCTGTGATTTCATTAAACATTTGCTTGATGCCCACACACACCTTCATGAAGCCTGGATTTACTTCACATTCCCCGGCATCAGCCCATGCTCCACACTCTATGGCATCGTGGGTATCTTGGCACGAGGATGCAAACAGCAGAATGTTGGAAAGAAAGAGCACATCACTGCCAAGCATTCCAGGTAGAAGAAGTCAGCTCGACCATTGCGTCAAAGGCAGGACCGTTCCAACCGTGAGCTGGAGGGCACAAGAACGAAAGCAGAAGAACAACAGGTGCAAGCAATGAACATATTAAAAGTGCTGGTCTTGTGATTGTCTCAAAGTCCTTCCATCCAGTCTCCGGTGCTCAGTTCCAGCATTAAATTCAAGGGATGTGCACTCTAGATTCTGATAAGTATGACTGGAGATCAGATCTCCCTCAGAAAGCAACATGACTGAGTCAGGTTAGGTTGAGCCTTTGGCCAGGTAGCGCTGAAAAGTAGGGTTTGCCGTTCCCGTGGGCATTCCTGGGCGAGGTGAGATGTATTCATGTTCCGAAAAATGGATTTGAGGCCTGGCTGCGGGCAGTAGCCATTTGATTACAAGTTTGCCAGTTGACCTCTAACACCCTTGCTGAGAAAAGCTGTGTAGTCCGTATTCTATTCTATGATCAGTGTGAAGTGATCTCGGATCTCTGTGAATCTCTCCAGTCTTGCCATGTCGTGCCACTCATCCACCCCGGCACCTCAATGATCCGCCGGATCTGCGGCTCAAAGCCCATGTCCAGCATCCGGTCCGCCTGAAGACGGGACGGTCGACGGTCGGTTGTGACCCGGCCAAGATTTCAATTGCGGATGATTCATCCACTCCCGAATTGTGTTTTTGAGTTGGGCGTTTCTAGGATTTTCATGGATAGATGGAAAGCAACCTTCGAACTATTGTTCTTCAGCAAGCCTGTGGATATTTCTTGTACACAATCTGGGTTTGGGTGGAGGGCAGGGCCGCGCAGCGCAGCGCAGGGCAGGGTCGGGTAGGGAAGGTAAGGTAAGGTAAGTAGGAAGGTAGGTAGGTAGGTCAGGTAGGTCAGGGTAGGTAGGGTAGGTACGATAGGTAAGGTAGGTGGGATAGGTGCAGTAGGGACGGTAGGGTAGAGTAGGGTAGGGTAAGGTAGGGTAGATGTCTATAGTGTCTCGCCGAATCACAGCGCAGGTGGCTTCACACCTGTTGTTTACCAGTTATTGCCTGCTCATGTCTGCCCTCTAGTTGGACACTCTCAAGAGTTGTGTCACTTGCGTGGACAGGTGCCAAGCTGAAGAATCCAATCTCGCTAGTCACTAGTCGTGAGGAAGCAAGGTTGGACCCCCATAACCGCACGCAGCCACCATTGTTCCCTCAGGCCTTGGATTGACAACAAGTTCAACTGGAAATGGGCTCCCCCAGCGAAGCTATGTCTTTTGAAGCACGCTTCTCATTCTCTCAACTAGCACCATCTACCTTGAAAGTGGCCCAAAAAACATAGAGGGCAAGCTGGGCAAGCGCCTTCTACTTTTGCCACTCCCGGTACTTCTGGCTTGTTTCATGAGGGGTGAAGACCTCTCCTGATCGGCGAGCCAGGCCTCATCAAGCGTCAAGTAGGAGATTTGCCCGAGCCACACTTGCTTCTTTTCGCAGAACTGTGCGAACGATTGGCCCACAAAGGTTGTTCACACGAATCACTGCGGGTGGTGAATCAGTGAACTCGTGCTTTGGATCTGCACACATGCTCTGTTATCTCATCTCTGTTTGTAGTGTTGTAGTGGGCGATGCGTCATAATGCTGATGATACAGTAAGGGGGAAAGCTGTTTTGGCACATTTATTGGGGTAGCCGATTATTAGCCGTAAGGGTATCGCCGAGTGACTGGGTTCAGAGTGACAAATAACACCTTGATACACCATGAATAAAGGCTGTATAGAGTCTAGAGCATTCTTAGCTGGCTGTCTAGGCTGTCTAGGCAACATATTATGAGAGTCCACGGACTTTCTCGAAAGCCTCGTTGAGGCGACCGGGCGTGGCCACAATGATGTGGCAACCGCGCTTCAGCCACTGAGCGGTTGGGTGGGCTGAATAGGATCAATGGAGGAATAGTCAATGCCATGGCATGCCATAGGATTTCAGGAGAAGAATGTCGCATGCCAATAGTGTCAAGAATGTGTGTGGGCAAAAGGCAAGCGGGAGCAAGCTGGCAAGCGCTCAAAGCGCGTTATAGGCTCTTGGACTGCACTGTTCCTTGCACTTTTTGTTCTTACAAGAATTCTTTCCTGCAAGAACTACTTCAATCTTCTCAACATGCACACCCGTTTTGCCCCCTCCGACCCCCCTCCTCCAACTGTTCGCCCTTGGACTCACCCCCAGTGCAGGAGCAGCAAAGGATTCCAGAGGAGCGGCCGAAACGTAGGGCCTAACAGACTGTCCGACAGACCAAAGGCAAACCAGCGGCTAACCAGTCCGTGTATCATATTGGTCTTGTTCTTGTCATCTCTTCAATACCACGTCGCTTCGAAACACTACCCTAAAACGTACGCTTTCTCTGCACAACATTACTCATTACTTCCTCGGTTATGAAGGTTCCAGGCCTCTAACTGGATCTGTCGGGCTAACTCACGCGTTGGAGCCAACACCAGTGCCTGCGAAGGGCACGGCACGGCGAAGAGCGCAAACAGGCGATTAAAATCAAGAGGATGTCGTCATAAACAAGGCCCATTGAAAGGTGTGCTCCTTTCCTGCAGGGCTTGCCAGCATCCCTACAGTTAATGAATCTGAAGCCCATAGAGAAATGTGTTGTCTTTTTCACCTTTGCGCTCACGCTGCAAGCTGCTACGCATCCACACCCGCGCTCCTCGGCAGCCATCCATGCAAACATTCACGAAAGGGATTGTTTTAATCATGTCATGCATTCGTGTATCGTCCTGCGTTGTCTCCAACCACAACAGCCTTTCACATGAATATAAATGTCGTTACACATGGAGTCCATGGCCCATGGAGGTCTTCAAAATACCAATGCCTGGCAGGATGACAACTATATATGACTACCAATCAGTCCGAATCCGGTCGTCTTTATGTGTCTTGATCCTTTTTCATCTGGCAGACGACCACGAAAAGGCTCTCTTGTTTAGAGCCGATTCGATGCCATCCAATGTGAGGAGTCTATATACACAAAAGCACTGTGGCATGTTGCGGCTACACCACAAAGCCGGTTCCGGTTCTTGCAGCCTTTATCTCTGGATCCATCTTCCTTTCCAGGGCATGGAGCATTGTGCTCTCAGCAAAGCAAGCAGTACACAATGGAGTTCAATGATGAACTTCAAACATTCACAAAGCATCCAAGCCTTTCAACCACTCTCTTTCGAGTATGCGTGTGCTTTGTGATATTGAAAAAAAGACTTGACATATTCGCACAGCATGCAGAATGCTTGCAAAGTGTTTCATCCCTGTCTTTGAGTCCGAGAAATGGCCTTGGCGGGCTGATTGAGCAATCGACATCACGTCGATGCTTTGGTTTGTTGTCAAGACATGTCAAAACAAGCCCATTAGGCTTGATCACAAAAATGCAGTGTCAGAAGTCAGGAGTCAATGCAGTGCTTCTTCTTGGGGGAAAATGAAAACATGGCTTTGGGATGCTTTGGGAGCCTGATGACTTACGACTTACACGTTGGTGGACAGCGCATATTATACCTATAATATAAACCCAGTTCCCTCACTGCCAGGCTGCTCATTGTTCGTCGATAGTGTGTTCGCGCCAGTATCCAAAGCCTCGTGAACTTCTTGCGTAGTCACAGTCCGATCCAAACAATCGAACGTCTATTTCCCTGCACAGTAGAACGATAGAGCTCCTGGCACCTCCATCATAGGCTGGGATTGAAACGCGAGCGGGCTGGTGCCGTGCTAATTCAGTTGATTCAATCTTGTAGTAGAAAACAGTCATGCTTCTTCAGCCAAAATATTTTGGTATATTCGGGTGCTCGTGCCTGGTTGCGAGCGACCTGGATAGTGTCGGCTGTAAACCTCAGGATATCATGGGTCTAAACAGCCATGGCAGAGCTAGGGGCAAGTTTGATTTGCACCCAAGTGGCCGATGAATGCTGCTAGTAAACCAAGCAGGAGGAGCATCACAAAGAGCAAATGCCTGCATGGAGCAGGCGGGGGCAAAAGTCGTAAGGAGCGCATCTGAACAGAATTTGCAGTATGATTTTCTCTGTCGCAAACTGCCCACCAAGAAACGAGGTGGCATTGCTACCCGACTGAGTCCAACCATAAGCTCCTCCTGCATAGACCGCGCAAAGCAAACTTTTGTAGGGATAGCTCCCTGCTAGTCCCAGCAGCTTGTCCCCCTCAAAGGCCCTGTAAAACACATAAAAACAACTATGTAATCGGCACTAACTTATTGATCAGAGAGAAGCGTCCCTAGCAAACATGTTTTTTGATCTAGCCCCCCATCTGCAGATCGTCCACAAATCACGTGGGGCAGGTCAAGCTCTCGACTCTTGCGCCGGAAAACAACGTCAAGCAAGGATTGAGTGGCCCAATGGCCAAAACGCTTCATCATCTTGTCCCCTGCTTTACATGATGGAAGGATATGGGAGGACTAGTGACATAACAAATGTCTGGGTTTCATTCCAGCTCACCTGCAGTAGTGGGTTGCTTGAGAACCATTCCGCAATCTACGAGGGGTATAATAAGTGTAGTGACTGTGTCCCTACACTGACCCCCAAAAAAGAGCACTGATTTAAAGAATCCATCAGAATCCCAAGTATCTGAACACCTGATTGTCTCTGATCTCCCGACAAACCATCGTGTCGTTGTCTCCTGGTAGAGCCCGCTGTTGGATGGCAGTCCTCATCTCAGCATAGCTCTTAAAGCCCGTGACTGGCGTGACAATCCTGCCACCATGGGAGGGTTCTGTGCTTATTCAACAGAAGGGAGAATTGCAAATCGTTATAATGATGTGGTTCATAGGTATCTGTGCTTATGTAATATGGGGCGTGCATACAGGTGTGCGAATCTTTTCAGGTTGAGTCCGAAACAACCTTGTGGACAATCACGAAAGCATGGGTCCTCCAGTGTCAGGTCCTTGTTCATGAAGATTCGGACACACATTGACACAATTCAAAAACGATTTGAGGCTGCTTTTCTGCTTCTGGGTGGGTCAAATAATTATAAATTCTCAATTCAAGGATTTGTGTGATCTCAACTTGAGGCCAAGGGGGGGGTGCGAAAGCTAGCGCTCTAGAATGGGAAAGTGGAGGGCAGCGAGGTAGGAAAAAACACGGCGCTCTTTTTGGAGGCAGGGGTGAAGAGTCCTTTATATGTGGCTCTTTGCCCGGATCCTCCTGCGAGAGAAGAAAGAGAAGAGAGACGGAAAGACGAGAGACAGAGAGGAGAGAGAGAGAGAGAGGAGAGAGAGAGAGAGAGAGGAGAGAGAGATGAGAGAGATGAGAAAGAGATGAGAGAGATGAGAGAGATGAGAGAGAGAGAGAGACAGTGAGACAGTGAGACAGTGAGACAGTGAGACAGTGAGAGTGAGCGAGTGCGGCCGCAAGATACGCAACGCTAACCGCATGCCAAAGAGCGACGACAGGACGGAGTCGAACTTGCGAAGAGGGAGGAGGGAGGGAGGGAGGGAGGGAGGGAGGGAGGGAGGGAGGGAGGGAAGGTGGGGAGATTTCACTAAGAGTGTGGAATATGTGAACAAAATGATCAGCAACAGTGACAGTGAAGAAATTGATCGGCAAATAATTGTTCTACTTGAATTTTGGTGTGTTTGCATCATGAAAAGAATCCATGTACTTATATAAACCACTTAACGAGAACAGTTTCCCTCCGTCCTGGTCCACCTCACTTCCAGCAGTTGCACTATGCGAGAGTCCACCTGACGATGATGAATCATGATAATCATATTGCCTCCCTGCACTCCCCAAAAAGCTATGTCAAGGATGAGAAGGTGCGAAGCCTGTAGCACTGCATCTGACGTGGGTCCAAGTCAGCTCTTGTACCACTAATGCAATGCTTGGGCCAAGAAAACACACCCATCTGCAATACTAACTTCCTGCTTTGTGAGCACGTCCTGCCGCCCTGCCTGCATTGAAGCATCATCGGCAACCCGTGGCAACCTAGCGCGGGATCCTCAGAACAAACATGAACAATAATACAGGAGCTAGATGGAGGCATCACGTAGCTGACCTCTGACGAGCTGGTGGAAACAAGCTGGAACAGCCGGGATGCGTTCAGATTCTAGATTCTAGCAAAGATTAAATGAACTTTCCAACCATGTCAGCGGTAAAGTGCCAGCCATGAAAAAAAGAACTGGAAATCAATGACGGTATTCGCTTGTTGTTGTTGTTGTTGTTGTTGCTTGTTGTATTCCTGTTCAAGTCAATTCCAAGCAACAAATGCAGCAACACGTCTTGAATTAGAATGAGCGTAAGAAACTCATGGCTGCCGCTAGTGAATGCATATCGGCGCAGCCAACTTTCCAAGGTTCCATCTTTCAGTTGGAACACGTCGAACTGATCGAGCAAACTATGGCAGTCAAATTTGGACTCGTGCCTCAGCTGGAATGACCATCAATGAAAGTCAACAGTTTGGTTGAGAGTTCTGAGCTATGTCCTCCAGCAGGTCGCATGTCCCACAGTAATGTTGACACTACCATGTTACATGAGTAAACCACCAGACGATACAAAGCCAATTTTTCTCCGACAGAAATCCACCAATACTGGCAAGCACCGTACAATACAAAAACAAACCTAGGTCTTAAGTTTTCCACCTGAAAAAACTCTGCATTACTAGCGTAATTTGAGCCAATAATTGCTCAAGTTGGCTCACGAAAAAATGCAATGATAATCAATGATAAAACACATGCTTTCTCCAAAAAGAATCCGCAATACTTGCGTTGTTACACATATATATATATAACAATATATTGCTCTAAAGACCTCTAAAGGTTTATTGTTGCAGAAAAAAAAATATACTTTTCTACTACGGGGAAGTCTATTGTTGTAATTAATTGTACTGTCCACAATAACAATTGTGTGCAGCTTGCAGGACAACTATGAAGAGGGCTGGGCTGCGTGCGTCTCATGTCAAGTCACCCTAAAATCTAGGAACCAAATCATTACTGTAGTGTGAGCGCCTCTTCAAGGAAGCTTCCCCCGCCGCCCTAAGAGCTTCCTTGAAGAAGCGTGAGCTATCTTAAGTAGTAGCTACTTAAGCTACTAGCTACCTAGCTACTAGCTGTAGCTACCTACCTACCTCTAGCGGCCTACCCCCCCCTGGGCGTCAAAACAAAATGGTTTTGTCCAAGCTACTCCAGCATAAAGCTTCTACTGCTCTGGTGTACCAACTTCTTCAGAAGTTCGGCGCCTCTCAGGGTGGGAAGGACTTGGAAGGACAGCCGAGCACAGTTCCTTTGCTTCCACGGGGAATGTCTCGCCCAAACAGTCACTGCTCAAAACATGTTGCTCCAACTCATACAGCTGTCCTACCAGTCCTACCACTGCATCATTGTGCAGGATTTCTGTATCACACCATGCTGGCTCCACCACTTTTCACAACCGCGCGCGAAACACTGAATCCTAGTACAGTCACAAGAAGCTACTAGGAGCAAGGTGCATCGCTACTAGTAGCAAGGACACTTCTAGTAACAAGACAAGAAGCTACTAGTAGCGATGCACTTGTTACATTGCAGTTCCTGCTGGAAACTGGTCGTCACAAGAATGGGCCATTGTGATTCGTCAATTGTTGGCTGTTCTGGGGTCACTCACTCGCCTGGGAATCTGATTTGGTCAAATGGGGTGGGGTGCTCCAGCACTGATTGGTCACTCACCAACATATTCTGAAGCAATGCAGCTCCAGCTGATGATGCTTTGCATGGATGTACCTGTGCAATCCTTCGTTCTTCAGCGAATTATCAAAAGGCCACTGACAGTAACCGGCAATATCATGTCATAGGTGCTTGCAAAAACAGAAGCTGGTGCTAATACATTCACGAGCGCAAACTGGAATCAGCGTGAAGTCAACATGGCCTGGAGGATGTTGGAGAAACTTGCCTAGCATCCGAATCCTCAGCTATTGCTATCCTATCTGTTGTGTCCTGTCACTTGTCTTTTGTGGTATTGGAGCATCGTCATGTTATTGCTTTCAATGTCACCTATAAGTTGTAGGTATGTGACATTAAATTGTGTAATACCCAGAACTGAGGAGGTTACTCGGCCTTTGGATGTGTGCCGCGTGTGTGAACATACCCTGTGGGATATAGCCATGCTGACGTGATGCTGCGAAGCTGGATCATCCACAAAGTCCTCTGACTTGAACCGGTCATCGCTTGGTAGCAACATGCATTTATCTATAACTATATAGCAACCATTGAAAAGATGCAACAAATTATCAATTCGCTCTATTCTATACAATGCTGTGCATCAGAAAACAACAACCAAATGTATGCAATGTATTCTGAATTCCCGTGTCCTCGTAGGTGATCCAAAGGACCTGCCAAAGGCAGGTATCTGAAACAAGCAGGGGTTTGGTTTGTGCGTGTTTCTTTCTTTCTCTCTCTCTCTCTCTCGTTTTTCCTTCATGTTACTTTTCTCTGTCTTTGTTTTCCTAATTTTGAGTTATAAACCTTAGGTAATGTTATTTTGTCCTTCCTTCCTTCGTTCCTTCCTTGCTTTCGTTCTTACTTCCTTTCTTTTTTCCTTCTAGTTGTTTTTTTTCCCTCTAGTGACTCTAGTGTAGAGTTTGAGAGAATAAAGCAGGGAAGCAATTCACGCAACAGGCTTTGCTCACTAGTTCCTCGCCTCCGGATTTTTTCCAACAGCACGTATACCAAGACAAGATGTGCAGCCAGAACTCCTATGCAGCTTGGCATGTCTGCATCAACAGAGTTATAAAGCTGCGTATCAATCATGAACAAGAGTGCAACATAATGCCTGTGTATTCTCTCCTGCAAAACAAATGGCACAAATGCAAATGGCACACTCACTGTATCTGCTTTGTAGGCAGTGTATGCATCTGTAAAAGCGTAAATACACAGCAAGTGAATGTTATACAGTAGTCATGTCTACCCCGTCATACCTGCGAGATGCCAGCATGACTCATGTGGAAGAAAATAAACGACTGTGCCGGTCATTGCTGGTGACGCTCGCAAAGGTGGTGGGAGTGAAAAGGAGTGGGTGCATCTCTGCACGCTTCAATCCTGGCACAACGGCAATTAAAGGAGTAAAATCACCACAGTGCGCTTTAAAAAACGAAGTTGAAAGGCTTTGATGGCTTTGCGAACCCTAGAATTTATACAACTTTGGGGCATGACGTACTATACAATACACTGACCTCTGGATGAGTGCAACAGTCCCTGCGGAAGATTGGAATCTTTCTGCGAAACCCTTTGCGTCCAACGATGAAAGTCACCCGAGCTCTACAAGTACCAGCATGTTTGCCGTTTCTCCGTGCCTTTTATGTCATTCTAGGCACTCTGCTCCTTGTTTCTTTCTAGGCATACGATAAAACGCTGAGGTGTTTCTCACTGATCTTGAAAACCAAACTTGCATCAAAATCAAAGGCTCCTGCAAGTTCAGCCCAAGAGCTATTGCAGAAGAAGTCGTACTGGGATTGAACCACCTCCAGGGCAAACCTTCTCAGAAAGATCAAACAGCCAATTGTCCAGAGTTCAGACGTTCATATTTAGGTGACAATTTAGGTGATCTGATCTGTGTCAACCTATTTGCGGTTGGGTTCTAATCAGCCAGGTCTTTCACCGGGTGAAGCTTTAAAGTCTAAACTTGTTTGCACCGTTTGCACCCCTCACCTGCAGCGGGTCTCGCATCAACACAACATAGCGAGCATTAGTTGGCAGCATCCCGCGTATCCTGGATGCAGGGGTTGGCAGCGGAGTCTGGTTCATAGCCATGGGTCATCCTTGAGCGTAACTTGTTGTTGGATGTAAAGCTTCCAGATTCATTTCTGAAGCTTCAGCTCCTGTGAGACATGAAGAGCCTTGGAGCATAGTTCGTCTGGAAGGACAGCACGTTCTTTGCTGCCAAGCTGTCATACCAAGCAACGACTTCCCAAATGTCCTCCCATGGTATGGTAAGGCGATAGTTGTCTTGAGAACCGTTTGGCTGAATTGTGTACAAACATGGTTTTCCTCATGTCTTGAACAAATGACTACTTAGGGATAGGTTAATTCATGGTTGCCAAATACAACATCAGATGGATAGGTGCTCTAGTACGAGTATAACGAAATATCTTGTTGAGCTTTTGAGCTATGGCTATGGCTATGATCCAATGATCAGGATCCCCCAAAGTGTTTCTGGTCCTCAAAGGACATACCTTAGCAACATGTCATAACTGTCACAAATTACCCTCACATTTCTCTCAGCAAGCACATGATAGTGATATGTAAGGTTCCTGCCTCTCAGTTGGCCTAAAGTTCAAAGGAGTGGTACCAAATCTCCAATTGAGGAGCACCAAGAATTGTTTCTATGCAACAGCAACAACAAAGCACTCATGTAATGTTAGGGGAAAATGAGGTGTATATACTGTGTATATATATATATTTATAGAGAGAGAGGTAGGCAAAGTTTAGACGACGAGTCAAATGGGGTTCACATAAGAAATATCCATATAATATTGAGTTGCGGTAAGCGATTGTCCCTGGCATTCAATCTGCAAGGCAATCTGGAAGCCAAGAAATCATTTGTCACTTGAGCATGGCCAGATTTTGCGGCAGCACCTAATGTTCAAGCTAGTGATCCTCAAGTACTCTGGCGTACCATTGCAGCAAAAGTGCTTCCACCACTTCGTAAGCCGTGCATGATATGGCTGAGCCAGGTTGTTCCGGTTCCTAAAGAACCCACCAGGAAAACGTCGGACGGGATCACGTCAACCGCCTGTCAGCACGTCTTCTCTGCATCAAGCTTGGTGCATCTCTCAAACATTGGACAAGGCCTTGTCACTCAAAAACTGGCAAGCTAAACACCTGTCACTACCGGTCACTACGTGTGACACTGGATTGCTTAAGTTTAGGCCGTGTGTTCAGAATTGTTCACCTATCTGATTATCTGAAGGAGGCTGGACCTGGTCACTGTCTAGAATGCTTTACCCAACAGAAAGGTGCTTATATAGTATTTCCACATCAGTTCCAGCTGGCAGAGATCTGCGTCGCCTTCTTCATAGGAAAAAGAGTCTTGAACGCCTTCATGGTAAAGGTGTTCATCTTCTTCACGATGCCTCCAGTGTCCAACACTGATATGTGAAGACATGTTCAGACTATTTTTGTCTTGATTTCGGATGTGCAAAGCAATTAACACTATATAAGTATCACCATTTATATAGTTTGAAAGACTTGTACCTTGCACAGTGCTCGTGGCCTCCTTCACAAACATCAATTGCGACCAGTTGGGACTTGTGCTCTGGCCACTTTAAATGTCACGTTCAACCCAAGTCGCCGTTATTGAGTTTCCAAAGGTTCCCTTGGCTCATGTGTGCCAGGATCTCCATCTCACGAGGCCCTCCAGCAGACCTGGAGACCAACCGCACAAAACTATCCGTCCTTAAATGTGCGACGCTTTGCTGGCGATCTGACAGCCTACAGTATAACTTCCATGTTGCACCATCTTGCACTAATTAGAAGATATTATATAGAAGTACAGAAAATGGTCGGCATCCGACACAGCCTTTTGACCACAAATAGCTTGTCTTGTCATTTTGTCATACCCCACCTGTGAATCTCCCAGGGATTTACGATGCAAATGGCAAGCACAACGATCACAAGGAAGCAAAGCACTGCGCCAAATCGCCACATCTTCGTACTCTCGTCACTTTGAGGTACAGCTTTGGGGACATCGTTCCTGTCAACAGACTCGACATGCACCTTGCACTCAACACTACACTGCAAAAGCCAAAAGCCCTTGTTCTTATTGAAGTGGCTCACTTGTAGACCCTATTCTATTGTCTTTGTAGAAGATCGACACACCCAACCTACTCGAAGCTACCTAATTATCGGAAACATAACATAATTGCCTGAGGCTGGTCAAATAGTTTTCCTGCACCCTGCTTGCCCCAGGATAGATTCTAGACACAGCGTGGTCTGCGCAGAAAAATGATTGTGCCAGGGGGTGACGATGATGACAGCGGAGATGCCGTGATGATTTATTCATATCAATTCATTGTAACTCCAGCAACTACAAGTAACTTGCACTCAACAGCTGGTTCTCAGTGTTTCTCCACCATCTGCTGCCGATTGGGGCCGCACCTCTTCGTTCGCTCGATGCGTTGCATCACATCCACCAGAACTTGCGAGGCCAGCTGATCTCCTGTCTGAGAGGATGGATTGGGACCAAAAATACTAGAATTTGCTCCTAGTAGCTCCTTGTTCCTAGTAGTAAGGCCAGGAGCCCCTAGTAGCGTCCTTGCTCGTAGTAGCGATGCCCTTTGCTCCTAGTAGCTTCTTACTCCTAGTAGCAGGAGCAAAGTGCAGGAGCAAAAGCAATCACTAGAAGAGCGACGTCCCCAACTCCGTTCCGGAGCCGTGGGTCTTGACCTACTGCCCACTATGCCCACTGCTCATGACACTTCGCTTGCCTCAATGCATCAGAAAGGATAATGGCTCGATCCTCTGTTTGTTGTATGCAAATATCCGTTTCTCTTGATGCCAAAGTACCGCAGAAAACTGAATGCGTCCTTTGATCTGCAAACGACCGTCGCGAAGCGCATTGAAAATACTCAAGGTGCCCTTGCCCAGGGCAACCATGTCTTCATCCAGCATGCCTCAGCTGGTGGTGTCGGTGCTGATCACCGCCTTGCCCTCCGCTCATCCGCATTAGGGCCATAGAAAAGGCAAACAATTCTGCAATATTAGTATTGTCATTATTGTTATTATATATATGACTGGATAAAGGCCACGGCACAGTTTCTTGTAAGTACAACAAGGTAGACCTCTCTAGCTGGATCTAGCTGGAACACTTTCTGGCACAAAAAAACAACATTTGCCTGAGCCGGATCCTGTCAAGAGCTATATGTCATGCACGTATTTCGAGCGTAAACATGCTCCAAAGTGCAAACAGGTGCCCTCCTCCACTGCGCAACATTGCACTCACTAGCTAAAGTGATGCCAAGAGTCTGATAAATACATCAGCCCGGGGGTCATATCCGACACGAAGCGAGCCACGTCCATTCTTCAAATCCAGCGTGAAGTTGCCGCGCTCGCCCCCATCCTTGAGGTGAAATTGATAGACATATCCTTGGTTTAGCTGCAAACAAAGGCAGCGATTGAATAATGCCAAGCTGCAATAGGCGGACTCTGCCGAACTGCTGGCAGGGCACCACACTGTCGCACTAAGGATTCCCCATACTTCTCCAAAGCTTCATCTACAGAAGCTAGCAGTGGTCGGCATAGCAAGCCATCACCAGCCAGAACTGCCATTCAAACTGCTAACCGGTTGAGATCAGTCAGTCACTGGAGCTACAAAAGCTAGCAGGTTTTGATACTTACTAGCAGCAATGTGTTCGGATTGCTGTAAAAGTGCATATTTCACTACCTCTATGCGGGAGCAAGTGTTGTTGCCATGCCTTCTAATTGCATCCAACTAACAGCTTCCCCAATGCTTCAGTTCACTGAGCTGGATACGTCATTGCTCGATTATGAGCTCCTAGTAGCGTCCTTGCTCCTAGTAGCGATGCCCTTTGTTCCTAGTAGCTTCTTGCTCCTAGTAGTACGGCCAGGAGCCCCTAGTAGCGTCCTTGCTCCTAGTAGGTTCTGTGCAAGGTCCAAGTCTGGCTGAAGTCTCTTCTGAAAAACGAATGCCGCCACATAGCAACCATTGCAATTGCAGTTTGAGCAAATGTAGCAATGGCTTAATACGTGAGCATCTATCAAGACGTGTGGCAAAGAGAACAAAAGGATTGGCCAATGTTGCTGTCACCTACGATGGACGAATGCCGTTGACAGTTCTTTGCTTGCATGATGTTTCTTAGGCAGCAGCTGTGGGAGCAGCGGTGGGGAGCCCATGGCTGCAACCCAACTGTGCTTGTTCTGTCTGGAATGTGCATGCAACTCGAAAACCTTGTTAGTTGCAATACTCAGCATACAGATGTCAGGAGTTCCTTCTATCCAATACTCATCTTACTCCACGCAAAACCAAGGGACTCAATTCTCTCAATTGTTTCACAGAACATGTCATGTACCAAACATGTTCCTGATTGTGAATGCCTAACCTGCAGCCAAAGGATACAAGAATACTAAATGGTAATGTCCAACCAGGATTAATCAGCCTCCCCTAGTAAATCCCAGCCACAACACGATCGAAAATTCACCCAAATTGAAAGTCGTATTGGTGGATTTCTCCCATGAATTGGTGGTATGTTGGTATTGGAACCACATGCTCCCAGAGCTAATCCGAACCACACAACCAAGCCAGTTTTCTAATGCCATCTGATTAACTAAGAGAGGCTCATACATCATGCTGCCATCTCCAATTATTTCTGTTCTTGAACTCACCACTCAAATCTTCGCCGATGGCTTAGCCTTTTCTGATCCTTTTTATCAATAAGCCTGCCAGTTCTCTTGTGATTGTTGTTTGGCAGCAGTTTTCCAGAAACAAATCCAGAAAATGTGTAGTTCAGGGTTTATGCATTTCCTGTAAAGACAAACTAAAACCAATCATTTGATGAGCTCACAAAGGGTAATCCCTGCAAGGGCTCGTCCCCCAAATAATCTGCACTACAACCCTTTATTAATTTGATCCTGCGTGTTTTTTTTCTTGTGTTTTGGTTCTGATCTTTAGAAACCTTTGTAAATAATCCAATTGAAACTCTTTCCTCCGCAAACCCAAACACTACCATGGGAGGAGGGGGGGGTATTGATCCGACTTATGAAACCATGGCCCTGGCTGCGTAATTAGGGCCTAGGGTACAGGTGCTGTGAGTTTGGACTGGTCTTCCAATGGTTCGACAAGAAGACTCTGCAGGCATATGTTGTGAAAGTCGTCGCAGTTACAAGTACGTAGGCCTCTTTTGTCGCTGCTTCCTTTCAAACAAGGAGTCTTCGAAGTCCTGCGAACGCTCTTCATCCCCTAATTCTTCAGCTGCTCGCTTGACTTGGCATTTCTGTATTCGCTGGCTCAAGCACTCTGATGAGATTCACAAGACTGTGCAGCTTTTGCTGGCTAAGTGATACTCCGAAACCTGACTTCGTCCAAATCTCGATCCTTATCATCAAATCTTCCAGGCTGCGTCGGTTAGCTTAATTACTCGAGAAGAGTTTGCTGTGTGGATCTGCTCCCGGCCGTCCCGGCGCGAGGTCGTCTTGGCTCTCTTGGCTCATTCACTTTCTGGCCCACCTTCATTGGCACCCAAAGAAGTGCCCGATATCCACTGGCATTGGCCACCTGTGGACAAAGCCATTTGGGCACTAATCCGCACATACACCAGTAACTAGTAACGTAGACAAAACAGGGCTGAGCTCAGGAGGCCTCTCATGGGATTGTCTCTTACTCCGTCCATGGAACTGAGCCTTTGGTTGGATCATCCCCACGTTTTATTCTTCATACATCGAAGCAGTATTTAACTTTTGACCAAGTGTGTTCGCTGTGGAGCCGCTTGAATGCTTGTGATTTCCTGATGCATGCATGTCGGGGGGATGCCAGCCCCTCTTCCACTCCCCCGCCCCCCACTTCAAATCAATCATGTGGATCCCAAATTCAAGAGTTCTAGCAAGTTGATCATTCCTCTCTCCAAACGGAAGCGTCTTTCCTACTCTCCAAGCAGTGGATGTCTTTCAACTTCAAATCTATTCCTGTAATCAGCTCCGAATTATTGCTCAACCCTCATGGCAATGATGCATTTGTTGAAACCTTGCGCCTGCTCATACTCGATCCGCAGAATAGCCCAGAAGCTTCGGCGAAAAATCTCCGCCACAGTCATGAAGACGTGTAGGATCTCACGGAAGACTACGTCCTGACCATAGAAGTCGAGACTGGGTACAGGTATTGATCACCCATTGCGTCGTTAGCGTTTCTCTACGTTCGTAATGTGATGTAATGTATTCATTCCCGGTAGCCCCAACAATGTAAGTTCACCCTCAAAAAGTCGGGCCCACTCATACTTGCACCCTGGCCTTTTCGACCTTTGCACCTGGCTTGGTTGGGTTTTGCAACATCAAAAAATGGGCACTTTTGGTGTAGAACCACATGACATATTGATCTTCCCACAGAATCGTACCAACTTTTCGCAACTGCAAGACCTCACCAAGCACAGTGATGGGCATCAACGTCAGGATCCATGTGCATCGCAACAAAATATCACCCACCACCGCAATACAGTAAACGCGTGCCGAAAAGTGTCCTCAGTAGCATTGCCGAGGTGATTTTTGCAGTGACTTTTATCGGTTGATTTGAGCATCTGCTACTTTTGTTACTAGATATAGATTACTACAGTATATTGATAAACGATCATGAAGTTAAACTTACAACATTATGAAGGCAAACCTTTGAACATGAAAAACAGAGCATGTAGTCCAGGGTAAGGAACTCAAAAGATGTAGATAGCTTCCAAATTACTATTTAATTTGCTTCTTTTGCACATGTTGGTCTGAACCATCCTTTTGCCCAGGTTCTATCTTGTATCTGTATGTCTGGCAGGGTGTGTAAATGGTGAAACTACTGCTTTCCCAGACCTGTGTCATGTGTTTTGTCGACCCATGTAATGTTCCAAGTGCATTTCTTTCTGATAAGTTTTCTGCGTGTCACTTCTGTCAATACCTGGTGGAGGTCATCGGCATTATATAGGTTGGAGGCCATCGCTAGTAGGTTGGAGGAGAAAGCAGCCTTTAAGAAGGCTGCTCTTTTTGTCGATCTAGGGCTCTATTTTGTCTCAAGGGATCGAAACGGCCCCTTGTCTACCAGCAACCGCACATTCGGCAAAAAAACGCTGCATTCTTTCCGGAACAAACAGACTTCTACAACCAAGCACAAGTCAATAAGCACCGAGAGCATTTCAAAAGCGACATCAAGTTCCGCTCTGGGCTCGGCTATATTGTCCCACAGCTTGTCTGCCAGGCCCCATTCGCACATTCATGCCAGCAAAGGATTGTACAGGTGATCCTGGTACAGGTGAGTTGAGTCCAGCGTCGAAGCTACTTGCAGGGCTTGAGTGTGAGGTTCCTCCAGCTCCACTGGATCGGCGTGCTCCTGTTAAGAAGCAAAGGTCTCCGAAGGTGAGACCCCAATCCATACAAATATCCCACCATGCAGCATACGCCGTGGCCACCGCTGATGCCAGAACGACCAGCCACTTGGGGCATGCTTGGGTACTTACTATCACCACAATCAAGCTCGAGGTGTACTTTCCCAAGTTCAGCAAGTTGCGCTTCTGACCTGTGTCCCAAAAGCGCCTTGCACATTGCCACAGCCGGAACCAAAAAGGCAATGCAGCGATCAAAGGTGAGATAATTTCATGTTCCCAAGCAGGACAGGTGTTTCCACTCTTCACAAATTGCTCCATTGCAGATTGAAGTTGTGGATGATGTGAGCCTTGGTGAAAGCATTTTGCACATTCAGGACGAACGTCAAGCCCCGAAGGTTCGAACTACCAAGGCCATGACCAAGGTAGCACATGGCTGCTGGCACATCCTTGGGTTGATCACAAATATATCGTTCAGCGCTCTGGTTTGCCTAAGCTCTGAGGAATCTGTGGATAGTAACGAATAGAAAGAAGAATGGTCTAAAGGTTCAAAGAAAACAGGCTAGGCCTTCTTAGAAAAACTACATACCTCATGCCATTCTGATCGCCTCCGGTCTTAACGAAGAAGTGTTCTTGCTACTGATGTCAGCATGGCCCCGAAAGATTCATGTATACCAACTTTTTGGGAGAGTCAATAAAGTCGCAAGTAGCAGTTGAGGAAGATGGTTTTGAGGGACCTGTTGACCATCTTACGCATCTGAGAAGGTTTTACAGTTTTACCTCATGTCCTACCATTACTTGCAGCTGGGTGCCCGGCACGTAGCGGTCGTGCCAGGCTTGTGAGAACATCACCTGTGGCCAAGCTGTCACGGATCACGGTGATGGACAACTAGGCCTACATGTTGTCATATCAGTGGTACGGCATCTCAACATCTTTCGTTGGATTAGTGGCAACACAAAAATGCACTTGTGGCCATTGCTACGCTGACAGTGTTCCAGCCATTGGATGCGCACCGACCATGTTGTCTCCAAAGTTCACAGCATAGAAAGGAGCCTTAGGACGCCGCAAGTGGGAGGATTCAGTACAGTTTGGTCTTCACAACACAGAACAGCCAGCTGTGATCTCTGCTGACATGTGAGTGAGACATGCAACTCGGATAGCCTTCGATCAACAAACTCAAGAACAAAAGCAACGAGAAAGGAATGCATTGATACATTGATGGCATGCATCCTTCCTTGCTGGTGCGTCCACCGTTGCTGAGACTATCATGTTAGCTCTGTGATATTCTGGAGGAGAAGCCAAGCAGGTCCGTCCAACTCCACGGAGGATTTGCACCTCTCGCATGGCTGGGTGCACAAAAACAAGCGGATTCGCTCGATCGAGCTTCGATGTGTGAAGCAAAGGCCTGGGGAGTTGAAACTGCAAAATGTAGAAACTAGGAGCAAAGACGCTACTAGGAGCAAAGGGCCACGCTACTAGGAGCAAAGACGCTACTAGGGGCTCCTGGCCGTACCACTAGGAACAAGAAGCTACTAGTAACAAGTGCATCGCTACTATATAGTAACATCTCTCAAAACTACAAAATATCTCTTGGCATCTTTAGATATGTTTAGACCCTCTGAGAATGAAAAGGTCTTATGCAATTCTTCCACATTGCCAGTCCTTATACTTGCATCTGCACACTGCAGATGGTCTGAGCAGTAAAGCCACCGTCAAGCCTGTCAAATCTCATCTGTAAGTGCAAGCCTCTAAGGGCACAATGTCTTGCATGACTTTGTAACTGTGAAGGTCTTTCCAGGATTCTGACCGAGAAGGACCGTCGGATAAAGGACGTAGTGCCAAGAGGCACGTTCCAATCTCGTGGATGAAGCCCAGACCTCAGCCCCCCACGACCCACTGCATGCTGTTCTCTTGAAAATCTTTGGTATCTCGATATGTCGCTTGATTCCTCGAAAACTTGGCGAGCACACAATTTTACTAGATCAGGACGCTGCATGATGCTGCAATATACAATATACTGTATATAATATATAATATAATATAATGTATTATATATTACAATAAGTTACAATAAGCTACATGAAATAACATTTAAGGGAATCCATGGCAACGTTGACGATGCAAATGACGCTCTGTACGTCCACAAATCGCCAAGCAGGGGCATGCTGCCTTTTGGTCTCTCGTCCTTGGTAACTTTGACCATCGGACATTGCCCCGTCATCTAGCCATGGAGCTCACATCAACTCGGCAGAGAGTTAACCTTGGAATACAAGAAACGTACGAATCTGGGAGACTTGTTCCCAGTCTTCCGGATCAGCTTGAACCTCTGAGACTCTGGAAGTAGGACCATGTCAAAGAAATGCAAAAATTGACAGATCGTACAAGCAGTCAACAGCCGTCAAAACAGTTACAGTACTGATATCATTGTCTCGTAATATCTTTGTGCAGCAATTCAACAAGACAGCTTAGGGCACCCAACCCTCCCAGGATCCGTTCTGGAAGCTCATGCTGGTGGAGGCCCTGCCCAGGATCAAAATACCTATGAAAAGGATCAAATTAAGCTTGGATCCAATCTTGCAGCATGGGTGTGCTGTACCAGAAAGACTAAAGATGTGTCAGAAATGTGCTACTCTCGACTCTCAATGATGACTACGCCGACTATGATCCGACTTTTGTCACCTCCAAGAGGATGTAGAGCTCCAACACTGAGCTCCCATCGTCTAGGATTCCTCGCGAAGTGCTCAACTGCGTTGAAGAAGTGCCCAACTTTGGGATGTAAAGGTGTGGTTTCTTCCTACATCTGCGTGATTCGCAAAACTGTCGATATCAGATCCATATGTCGTCGATGTGCCACATCTGAAGAACGTCCAAAAGCGAGCCATGGGTTGCGAAGCAACCTTCAGCATCCTTTAGTGATCCATCCACGATCCTCAAGACCCAGTGCCAATTCTGAAGTTGCCAAGTTGGACCGCCTTGAAGCACCAAAATGGTGTTCATAATTAAATTAGATGTTCACTGGAGTGCATGGAAGTGCCATGATACTTGTCCCCTGATTTGACATTGGTTATGACTTCCGAGCTGTCTTCCCGAGGACATCTTGAAGGATATGTTGATATATTTTGTACAGACAAAGGTCCGAACACTTTTCTTCAAATGGCATTGTCCACCCCAACAACGTCCAAGTCGTTTGGGAAATAAGCAAACGTCAAATTTGGTGCCGTTCGCCTCGCAAGCGGCGCCCAATCGATGAGTCAGCCATGTCCATTGAGGCTTCCAGGCAATCCTGCGTTTCTTTTTTTTGCAGAAGGTTGGAGGCCATCGCTAGCAGGTAGTAGTGGGTTTGAGGCTTCCGGGCAATCCTGCAAAAGATAAAATCTTCCCAGGAGACTACAAAAGAAAGCTTCGGCTTGGACAAACAATATCAATCAATTCCATGCAGTTTCCAGATTTCTTGCCATTTCCAACTTCGCCTGGTGGATCTGCCACACGGGCACACATCGAACATGTTCCAATTATTGTGTCTGGTGGCTTCCCTCATTCCGTCCTGTTGCTGGAAGTATTGTATTCCTAAGAGGAAAGCATTCTCTCTGAACATGAAACATTCCCGGATGCGATTGCTGAAGATCTCTTTGACATCAGAGCCGACCCACATCACGAAGCTCTACTGCAGCCATGACACTGCATTGATTCCCAATGATGGCGGGCTTGCTGCCAACTGCCTTAAGATCGGAGATGAAGAAAACGCAGGGCAGCTTCATATAATGTGGTGCGTGAAAGCATGCATACAAAAACTCTGCGACTCGACCAACTCCCTTCACACGTGCAGGATCTATCCCCATGAAACGGGTGAATGACAGGAACTTCACGCAAACAGATCCAGGTGGAGTGAGAGGGGTTCGTGACCATTCAGAAGTCCGGCCTGTTTCAGCATAAATGAACCTTCGAGCACGCGAGCAATGAGCTTGAGGCCTGAAAGACGACACAGTGATCAAACAAGTCCAGTCTCCGAAGATCTGTCATATCGTTTGGCCATATGGTCTTTTTCGTAAAGCATATCAAAGAAAGTGGCATCATGACCAACCCAAGAAGTTCCAGTGGTCAATTCTGGTCATTCCTTGCTGTAGATTTACAGAATATCACTGTCAGAGAGTGTTGCCAAGGATGCTGCGCTTGCTGCGCTCCTCTGCACTCATTTCGTATACAAACCTGACCGCGCAGTATCGAATCAAGCTTGCTAACGGATGTCAAAGGAATGGATCTCAGCGCAAACTTCATATGAATCTGAGGAACTCAGGGCAAATGTCTTAAGACAATTTGAGGCTATCAAGCGCCCAAGCACAAGCCTGTTCGTTGATGTGTGAAAATATTCAGGCCTGCGAAAATGCAACCCCTGTGGAGTATCCAGCCAATCCACTCCCTGCGAAGGCCGGCTTCACATTTAGCTCACTGAAGCATGCTGGAATGAACTGCAGGAATCTGCTTGTCACACGGCCCGATGTTCCTGCAACTTCTTAATGTCAAAGAAAACCGTTGCAATACATAATAATGACCAACATCTTACTATGGCATTCTCCTGGCATTTAAGCCTCCGCCAGAGACCAAATGATCACTAGCTGCACATCCGGCAAGCGAAAGTTCATGATGAAGCTGAAGCCATTGCCTCGAGTTTTGTCATCAGAGAATCCCCAACCAATGGATGAGCACATGCAGTGTCTATCACTTTCTTTGCTATCACGGACTGTGGAAAGCCTACAGGGCCTATACTTTGACGCACCTCAAAATCCAAAGTTTGAAACGAGAGGATGTGGTTCCTGTGTTAGGGTGCTTGGTTCAAAAAGCTCACAGGTGTTTTCGTGCTCATGACTTGCTTGCTAGTGACCGGTGCTTCAACCCAACTGACAGCCTCTCAGCTCGGTTGCACATTCGGACAAAACAGTTCTGTGGTGTGCAGGCCAGCGGGCTTTTGAATCGACATTTGGGACCAGTGCTGTAGCTTTCCAGGTCCTGCAAACGGTTTAGCATGTTTGCTGAACTGGTTTGATGTGCCGCACTTGCCGGCCCCAAACTGGACACATATTAGTGCCGTATATCGCAAGCATCCAGCCTCATGCTGGCTCTCCTCTCCTTGACAGAGCACTATGTAACATTATGTAGTGATGACTTCAGGGATGGATGCTCTCTTCTGAGGGAAACACTCAATGAGTCTACAGATGTCTAGATTCTAGAATATCCCAAACAGTCTCCAGCTCTTGTTTGGTGCACCGGTGAAACCACTGTCATCCGCTGTCCCTGCCACGGATCAGCTCCACGGCATCCAGGGTCAACATGGGGCTTTTGCTATTGGACTTCCTCAACTAAGCCGCAAGCCGAAACAAATCCAGGTGTCTCGTCGGCTCTAAATAACCCGCTTCTGCTCTATCTATCTCTTATACACATACGGAACTGCCTGTTTGGTCTGTCTGTATTTTCTTATAGTCTACTTATAGTTTCTTCCTGTTTCTTCTACATAATTTGTGCACAAGCACCATGACATCATGAGTTTTATCTACAGCCGAGAGTCTTGCGATCCTGGAGGTACTGTGGGCCCCGGACCTGCAGGTCCCACCCACAGTGGTAGGAAGAAATGGACAGAAGTGGCTACGGGACCTAGATTCTAGGTCACTGAACGCAGTCGAAGCCTAGGTCCAAACATGGAGTCATCTGTAACATTCTGTAACTATATATGCGTTTGCTTTTCAGACCTGACCAAATACCACAGCCGAAGCTGCATTGCCAGTCATGCCCAGGATGGCAGTGCCTTGATACCCACGCCGTCAGCGGTATCCCAACCTCAAACAAGGCACAAGCCAGAAGGCCTGCAGCCATAAGGCTGTGACAGAGGCAATCAGCCCCCTGCTTGCTCTCAAGATGGCAATTGCAGCTTCAAGTATTCTTGTGCTATCGGACCAAAGAAACATTCGTGTCACAAATGGAGCATCTCGTGCAAGTGCCTTGTACTGTGTTTGGTAAGCCCACAGTGGGCACCCTGCGTGCATACAAGAGGCAATGCTTCTGTTCTGAACTGCTTCGAGGTGGAAATCCTGAAATCTCCTCATCGAAATGGTATTAAGATTGGCCAACAACCTGCTTGCAACACATTGAAACACCAACGACATAGCCATATCCTGCATCCTACTCAATTGTCAATGCTATTGTGAGCAATGACCTTGACAGTTCACGACCACAATCAGCTCTTGCTTCGCCTCCGGTCCCTTGGGGACAGAGCAGCAAATCATGGTGGGGCAAAGAACTCCGGGAGGAAAAGCAAACCTGTCACATCTGTGCCAAGCGGATACCAGAAAGCAGTGGACATGCCCGACAAGCCTAGACTTCAATCGGTACTCTATGTACGTTTGCAGTGTCACAAACAGATGGCATGACGAGTCGAACTCTCGCTGCTCGTAATGCTCCCAGAAATCATCTTCATCCTGTGGAGACTTCAGTTTCAAGATTCACCAGTATTGCAGTGAGTGTCAACACAAAAGGTGAACAGCGTCTCCCTTCGCATTCATCTCTGTGTGATCAAGCCTTTCTGTCAATGTCATTCTGGCTTTGTCCATGAATCTAGAAGCTTTCCATTCATCTGCATTCTCTCACACCTACATTTCACACAAATGTATGTACAGTGTACCAGGTCATGATAGACTCACCTCATGTATCCTGACGTAGTGCCTTTGGTTCAAGGGTATTTAGCCACAATGCACGAGCATCCAAGGGCCATCAGATCCAAAATATGCCAGTCAAACCCAGTTATCTTCCAGATGTCATGTCTCAGTCTCAGTGACGTAACCGATAGTGCATGTTCACTGCTGCGCTTGCTACCTGCAAAATTTCTCAAAGCTGTGAATCTGAGTGACGCTTGAGGAGGTGCATGACATTGTGAAAAGCCAAATGCTTTTTGAGACATACTCAGCCACTTGATCGTCCCACTTTTGATGCATGATACATCGAGACGTTGAAGACTGTCCTCCGACAATGCAGATTCAGAGTCGCCGCTGCTGTGGGATGAGTCACTGTCTTTGCAGCAACAGCAGCGGCAGGCAAAACACCTGAGGCAGTGAAGGAGATATGGTAAGAGGCGGCACAATTTATATAGGATCTAAGGCTATTAGGTTGGAGGCCATCGCAATTCTTTAAGAATGTGACTTTTAGAGGCAACATAATTGCTTAGGTGTTGCAACATACTTTAGAGTCAAGGTATGCCAGAGTCAGAGGCGTTAATGATATTTTAAAGGTATGGATTGGGTTGTAGAATGTTGTATGTGCACAAGATGATGCCCTGGCAATCACTGTGATCTGCAAACTCAGCAAAGCCCACAGACGGGATTGGTCGCTGGGTCCTCGCTCATTCTTTCCTGCGTTCTTGCACAGGCATGTGGATGCTTCAGCCTTTCAAATCTGATGCCCCAAATAAAATATAAAGACCCCAGCAGAAATATGCATAAATCCACCCCCTGACCGGCCCTTACCTCCTCATCAGGTTGCAAAGACGAGGCATGGCAGGCTGGTGGCATGTTAGGAAACGCAAAGCTTCAGGATGCTTCAGGATCCATCAGGAATTTGTGTTCAGGAATGTGTGTCGGATCTACTGGCACGATTCAGAACGTAGCTGCATTCACAAAATGCATGCTCCAAAATGACCCTAACAAAACTGCGGCAAGCTCCCTTGGGGCCAAAAGTTGTATGCAAAGCCTCAGAAGCTTATGCTTGGGCTTCATCGCATCCCAAGCTGGGAACGCGGGATATCCTGCCAAACCAAGCCAGACTGCGGTTGTTGCAGGATGCATATTCTGAGTGGAGTTCTTTGAATCACTTCTTGGCGTGCCCGTTCACTTTCGTCCAGCTTGAGGTCACAGCTTGAGCCGTGATAGCTTGGATGGAGAATTGCTCTTGTTTAGTAAATCTAAAGAGGAGGCGGAGGCAATGGTAGACTTATATAGATGGTTCAAAAACATACTAGAAAGCTGCATGGTTACTAGTAGCTATGGCCTCCAACCTAGTAGCTTCTAGTTACTAGAAAGCATTCAGCATTCTTGTTACTAGTAAGGCCAGGAGCCCCGTTCGTAGCGTCCTTGCTCCTAGTAGAGATGCCCTTCGAGTCGGCTCGAGTCGATGAACTCGCAGCGTCGACAAGGGAAATATGACAGCTTTAACAGGGCCAACCGTGCGAAAGGAAATTAACGCTGCATTTGTGGAATTGAAATGCCCACACCTTTCTGAACATGCTCCAGGAGACCCTGGTTCTGAACCAGGTGTCTGACCAATGGAAGAACCATCCATTTGTAGTCCACGACGTAAAAGCCGAAAACCAATATCCTCCGGACACAAATGAGAGAGATTGCAAATGTGGGCAGGTTTTACGTTTTTAAACAGGCGTTGCAAGAACGGAAGCAGACTAACTAATGCACAAAGATTGTTTCACAACTCCGTCCTATCCTATCTGTCAAGGAACAATCGTCACTTGCAACTTAGATCTCATAGACTCTGCTGCAATGTGGGCTTATACGCTCTTTTGAGAGTGCTTCTAGTACACCAACTATGGATCCCTCATGACGCCCTTGGGTCAAGCAGGTTTGCGCCAAAAAGGCAACCTGCCGTTCGGGTCTATTTGGACTGGAAAATAAGCAGAATGGTCCTTTGACAAATTGACAAAAAAAATTACAAACCTTCCAGTTTTATCCAGTTTTCATAGTTTCCAGTCCAGGCCGAGCTCAAGAGCATGGCCCAGGTGAAGAGAAAGTTGGGGCCTGAAAGTGTGTCCAGGTGTTAAGTTCATTTGAAAAGCAAACTCATACGACTTTGTTTACGAATTCACAAAGGTCAACAAACCCAAATGGAGTCTAGCATGTTGTAGGTGTTCAAGCAGTTATCGTTGAAGAAGACTAGAGCAAGCCCATCCTTGGCGCTGGACTGACTCGACAGCGAGGATCGATGCCAAGGATAAAACTGAGCATCCAAGAATTGCAAACCACAGGAACATGGACGCTACTAGTAGCAAGAAGCTACTAGGGGCTCCTGGCATCGCTACTAGGAGCAAGGATGCTACTAGGGGCTCCTGGCATCGCTACTAGGAGCAAGAAGCTATTAGGAACATGGAGTCTTTGGAGCCTTTGGAAACCAACAAATGCCTCTCTGGAGCTACTGTACCCCTTTTAACGGGATCAGTATCTACTAGATCTACAGTGGTTCAACGTGTCCAAGTGTCTACATGGACAATGTTCAACGTTCTTGAGAGTCCAGTTGAAAGTGTGTGCGCGTGTCGGCAGGCTCGAATCAATTGTTGCTCAGAAGGCTCTGGTGGCTGTCTTTCCAATCGTGCTTGCAATTCACCGGACCAAGCGCTGGGCAAGTGATTGATGAAGTTGTCTTCACCTGGCATGTTGTGAGAGGAACAAAAAGCTTGACCCAAGCTTGACCCAAGCACTCAAGCAAACTCTTCGGAACTTGAATCACATGCTCAGGTCCAACCTAATTTTACAGAGAACACTGTATCTTATATTTATATACATTACAAGACGAATACAATACGGGAAGAAGAGCGTTCACAGAAGCCGCTTTAGCAGCGCTGGGAGTCGGACAGACTCGGGCCACGTAAGCGAGTCCCAAAATGACCAGCACCGCGCTCAAACACACGCGGAACCTCCACATACTGCGTGGATTTCAAACGCTCTTTCGATTCAAAACAAAACAGCACAAACAACAAATAGTTATTTTGGTCTGTAACTTGGATGTTTCTTAGGCTTCAATGCTGTGGAATGTGTTTGAGCGGCGGACACGGGAAAGCTGCAAAGAAAATAGTTCTTCGAGAAGGTCATAGGGTCCTGCCCAAAGCTGCAAATATGATCAAATAAGTATATATAGACTATAGCCTGCGAATTCTACTACCTGTTGGAACTGATGTTTACTCTTCTGCGCTTAGAAAGGGGAACCAAAGTGGAATCAGAATAGCAACCTATCCTTTCACATTCTTCCCCCTCATCGATGAAAATGATGAATAAGAGGGATTTTTAGCATGTTTTAGCTTTAATTATATATATATATATATTCCTATTGAAAGCTTCTGTGACATTTCAAGCCTAGAGCTCAAAATCCTTCTAGCATGTCGCGAGCTTTGAAGCATGCCGCGGCACCTTCTCTGGCAAGCAAATCAATGCAATGATCGATAGTACGAGTGCGGATGAGGACCTGAAAGTGAGGTTGACAATGACGACTACGTCATAGCAGTTTGCCCTTCTCCAAAACGCTAAGACTGAAGGATGCAAAAACTCTTGCATTCTTTGCCCGCTGTGCAGAAAGTTGAAACCATCATAAATAATGGCAATCTCATTGGATGGCAATGCAAAACACAATCTCACTATGGCGCTGACCCTAGGAAGAAAAACAGGAGGCGCTCGGCGCGAAGCGCTTGGCCCTTCGCCGGAAGCCGCGGACAAAGGAGGTGTTTGGATGCTGTCAGAAACTTGCAAAAGCCATCAAAAGCCACTGCAGTCAGTAATGTGTTTGTTTCATTTCAGAAGTCGGAAGAGTCAATGCAACGAATGCGAATAGATAGATATAGATAGTCACAAAGTAACTGCAACATGGAGCTCTAACAGCCCGAGAAACAGTGCAAGCGATGCTTCGAGACCCTGTGTGCAAAAAGTACTATGAAGGTCTCCACAGGTCTCTCAGTCTTCCCATGTCTTCCCGAAATGACAAAGTTGGCTGTACAAGTTGGCGTTAACAAAGTTGTTCCAAAACAAACATGGTTAATCGGAAACCAAAGGGGCTCCTGTGTTGAAACGGAAAAACAAAAGAACTGAATCTTCGCAAGTTGGAATCCAAGGCCTGCACCGCCCCGACCCCTCAACCGTGGAATGGGAACAAAATGGTTCAAGCCAATTCACATCGCACCCCAGCAACATGGCAGCAAAGCGCCAAATCTTTGTACAGATTTGTACAGCAAGTTTCAGACTCAGCCCCCTTGGTTCTGACTTGGTTGGTTGCTGACTCTTTGTTTCTGCCTGGTAATTTCTGACTGGGTAGCGTTGTGTGCCTGCAGACCAGCAGAACGAGTTCCCAAGCCTCAAACGCTCCAAGAGCTTGTGACACTGACGCTGTTGCAGTATTCAAGCTCTCAATGTACTGATCCGTTTGATATGATGTGGTCATTAGACATAAGAGCATTGAGTCTCAATGCTCAATATCAATATCCAACTTTCTCTATGATACCCATTGACAGAATTCCTTGCAAGGCCAACGGAATGAGCACTTGAAGTTTGGCTAGCCATGGCTAGAATTAAATTCTCAGAGTCCAACCAGCAGCCAAAAGAGCCACCTGCACACGAACTACCCCATGTCCAACAACATGCGGCAGTAAACGGGCTTCTTGTTCTATTGAACTTCGTAGCCAGCCATGTTTGGCGGGACCATAGCACCGTCCGATCGTTCCTTCTGTCTGGTGAGAAAAAGTGTCTTGACCTGTGATAGAAAAAGTGTCTTGATCGTGGTCTGGCAGTCTGGGAATATCTGGGATGCTCAACAGTGATTAGTGTTGAATAGGAGTCATGAATCAAGAAGCTTTGTCTCAGAGACGGTGTAAGTGAAGCCAGCGTCACTTGCAAGAAACAGTTGTCATACATCGGTGACAGCGGTGACAGTGTGACATATAAAAACTAGGCAAGAGTTGTTTTTGCCAGGACTGGCATTCATTAAAGAGCTGCTTACAGTAAGTTTGAGATTCATGTGCGACAGGATAGATCCACTCAGACAACTGCCACTCAAGCGTTGCAAAATGCACAGTCGTGCAAGCTTTTTGTAGCCAGGAACGAGTCTTTGACCACTGCTTCAAAAGAAAAATGCAGTGGTGGCAGTGAATCGCAAACCAGAGAAGGGAGAAGGCTTGGCCTAGCCTAGCCTCTTAAATCACAAAGCTTTGCCGATGCAGTTCAAGCAACGGTCCACTCCAGGTAGAGAACTGAAACGCTACGACGACAGCAGCGTAGAAAGGTCTGCAAACCTGGAAGGTCTCAGGCTAGGCCCGCATCCTTGGCCTCCTTCTCAAGGGTCCTGGCAGCACAGTGTGGCCAAACGACCACAACCCTTTGTGACACAAGAGAAGTACGCATATCGCGTGCTTATCATGCCTTTGTAGCGGACTTGGTACTGCTTGCCAAACAAACTCGAATCTCAAAATCAAATCCCTCCTCTCCTGAACACTTCTTCATGTCCAGCCCTCATTGCTTGGGAGATGAAAGTCCTTCGCAATAAAGCTCTTGAAGCACTCAAAAGCATGACTGCAACTCCTACTGCACGAGAAATCTCACTTGTGTAAATGTCACACCTACTGTAACAGGCTGCCAGTAGCAAATCCAGCAGCTTGGGTCCCTCCAGAAACCACAACCAGAACACCATATCCATCCATATCATTCATTATCATTCCATTTCCATCCTCAGCAACGCTTCCGTGACAGAATCCGGGATCGGGAACCAGGTAGGCCTCAGAAAAGTTAGGCACCGACAAGCACCTCAGCACCACCTCAGCACCTCATCTGGGTGAGTCTTGAGTCCCAACTTTTTTGAAGCACCGTGTCTTTTGTCTGTAAGCTCTCAGCATATAGTACTTGAATCTTTGCAAGGCCTGACAAATGTCGGTCTAACATGGTCCAACAGTGAAGAACGCAAAAGAACCACGTGTGTAACCCTGTTAAAAGCTTCTGAAGCTATATCCACCAAAGAACTCTATTGCAGTCCGACCCAGATGGCCTGCTGGTAGACTCGTAGACCGCCACGTCGGTCATCTTGCCAACGTAGTTGAATCTGCACGAACTTCCGCGCAATAAGAATCACACATTTCTAAACAATACAATCACAAATGCCAATAATCCCACACAAAGGCTGCCTCGGTCTTTGCTTCGAGCAACTCCTCAAACTCCTGGGCACAAGTGAAAAGGAACTCGGTGGTCCCTACAAACACAACTGGATGGCCAGTTGAGCCTTGAGGTACTCAATGGCACCATCCTTCATGAGCCCGGGATTGATGGCAAGGACCTGTGCAAGCCAAGTGAAAAACAATAGAGCGGGGGAGGGAGGGAGGGGGGGAGGGACACAAAGATGTCGAGAGAGAGAGAGAGAATGTTTTGGAGTCCCCTTCACTGCTGGTTTGATTGCCAGGCTGATAGGCTGAGAACAAAAAAACATATCTTGCAAATGCAAAACCAGAATCTGCATTTGTGCGGGCCTTCACGTCGGCTCGATTTGCCTTTTCTTGTAAAATCTGGCAGGTCATTCGTACCTCTCAGGGTTTGCGGTCCTTTACGAAACGATTGGTTACGGTTACGACCCGTTGGTCTAGCCTGCAAGTTCGGGGTTGTGCACAGTGGACACAATCAACAAGTTCATGGGCTTCCCAATGGCAGTTGGTCAAACTCGACCAAGTGATTCATCTGTGAGTTCACTTCATTAAAGAAGGGTCTCTGCGCCAATTGAATGGCCTTGCCTGCGATGTGTATGGCCCAATGTCCATCCTGGGGAAGAACAGGTAGACCTGTCCATCCTCCTGCACTTCAGTACGCTCCACTCCGCTGAAAAGAACCTCTATTGCTCTCTGCTGCAGCAAGCTATCCATCCACTCAGTGCTGCAACCTTCAGGGGATTTCGTTCCCAAGCAAGAATGTGCCAAAATTTGCGCATTGGAAATTCATGCTGTTTCTCAAGGTTTGAAACAGTCTTCCCAAATTATTTGTTATGGACTGGCAAGAAATTCTGGGCGCCTGGGAGTTCATGTCTATCCGTCTCCTCCACCACCACACTCACTGGACGTCCTTCGGCCCTACGCCTGTGCAGCCTGCGCCGACGTTTCCCGCACGCCCAGGAGAGGCCACTCAAGCCACTCAAGCCACCAATGGCCACTGGACCAGCTGGACCGGCTGGACAGGGCGCAATGGCCGCTGGCAGAGCTGCTCTGTGCCAAATACGCCCACTGCGAGTGGGAAGAACTGTGGCTGGAGTCCGTGCCCCGTGCAAAACGCTCATCCTGCTGAGGGGCTAAAGATGCTGCAGTAAATGATAGGCTGTGACCCTGGTACCAAATTGCAAGCTGAGAAGGGCCATGTGGCCTCAAAGTTCGCTGATAGGCTGTCAAACTCAAAGATCTCAAAAGCAATACCTCTTTCAGATACAATCAGGAGTGCTCGTTGCTCCTCTTTCTATGGCCAAGATTGAGATACGATGTTTGAGCCAGCTTGGGGCATCGGTTGATATCTGGGGTACGATAACAGTGTCATGACTGGCACGATGCGCCCCCCTCGACAGGTCGCTTGCTGGGAATAGGAATACATTATATTGTAAATTATGAGATATATATATAATATATATATATTATATATACAATTTGTAAGAATACGATGGAATATGATGGAATGTGTAACAAATTCAACTTGTTCCTTGAAGGTGCAAGGTATCCGGCCTCTGGTGAAATGTCTGGATTTGTAGCTGGCGACTGCCTGGAAAATGCCTCGCCAGCTCACAGCGAAGCTACAGAATGCTACAATAGCGTTCGTCATTCTGAACGCTGAGGCAGTGGGCCTCGTGAGTTCCACAAGATGCCGATTCGTTTTTTAACGCCGGCTCCCCACCTTCCTACTTATTTAAGTATGTGGATTCTTCCTCGTTTCGTCTTTGGATGTTGGCAGCATCAAAGTCTTGTCTTTCAAGAGGGCTCTGTCCCACCAGCTGGAGTTTCTCATCACCTAAAGCACCAAAACAAATCGATCCAAATCGTCTATATCTTTCACATTGGTCACCCTCAAACATTCCTGCTGTGGAATACTGACCCAAACTGACTGACCTGCTGGGCCCACCTCCTTGACGTTGGCATCCAATGCTTCTATGGCGGTCATGTCGCCAATGCGCGTGCCCTGCAACACATACCATGTCAGCCGGTTTCTTGAATTGTCGGATGCTATTCACTGGAGCAGAGTAGATTGCTCATCCCTGACAGCTCTGCAGTTCTCAGTTGGATGCTCAAAAAATACTCGACCGAACTGTATAAATGTCTCCTGATGGGTCTCAAATTCTCCAGTGATTTCAAGTTGAAGCTGTCAAGCCTCGATAATTTGAGGGTAGATTTCTGCCACCCCATCGGTTCGCTTCAGAACTTTGTCCCATTTGCGAAGGATTTTGTACCTTGGTGACATTTAATTTGAATGCAAATGCAAATTACCTTTCCAGAATTCAGCTAGGCCGGCGGCAATGCTGCGTGATTCAGTTCAGTGTAGCCCTTCAGCCGATAAATGCCCTCTCCAAGCCTTCCCAGTGCCTGGAGATTGAAAAGTCTGGAGTCTCAAGTCCTTTGGTCACTGAGAGCCACCCCACGCAGGTGTGACGGAGTGACGAAATGGGTTTGGTACAGATTGTTTTGGGCTGTAAATCTATCCATGTGTCTTCTACCACATAAGGTCTGACTGCAACTGAACTAATATACATATTGTACATGTTGTCACTATATGCTCTCACTCTTGCGTAGTGGAAAGAAAGTAGCTGGACGGCGTATTTATCCCCTAACATATTGGATGTTTATCAGACAGCTATGGCAAAAGCGGCTCCCATTGGCTCGCCGTAACTTGCCTCCAACATGTTCAAATGCAGAAATTGGCTCATGGGATTATGCTGCGCTTCAGCTCCTTCACCTGCCATCCGTGCTGCCCATCAAGAAACCGATTTGCAACTGCTTCCATTCTACTACCGTGCGTTGGATAAACGTGAGTACCTGAAGGCGCTCTGAGGTTCTGTGGCAGCTGGAAGTCAATTTTAGGCAAAAACTTGGATCATGGCGCAGATTCCCCTGCTCACTCCGCAGGTTTCTGGCTGTTCACAGTTCTAGACTAGAGTTTGCAAGCTTGCCAATAAGTCTTTTTGCCCTGCTCCTTTCTCAGGGACATAATCCCAACAAGCGTGCCCATTTGGGCGAGGTCTTGTTGCATTTGGCCAAAACTCATTGCCTGGGCCTTGTGTGTTGACCGTTGTGTACAGGGATCGTGTTGACCCTTGAAGGTGAAACGTTGCAGTTCTGCAACTTTTGGCACTCGTCAGCTCATCTCATTTTGCATTGATAGAACTTGTCTTTAACAAATCTCAAGTGAGATCGTTTCATCCCTTTGGAGAAAGCCCTTCATTGACAGTTCTGGCTCCCGGTCAGGTTTCAGCCAAGAGAGAAGCCACAGGCCTCCGGCCTCAGTGGCGGAATCGAACTTTTGGGGCCTTGGCAGAAAGTTGTTTGAGACCTGCCCGAGGCGTGTCCACTTCCCACACTAAAACCAATCCACACATCCTGCCAAGCCAAAGAAGCCACACAATCCGCAGGTAGACCCCAAACCCAGTCTGTGTGCCAGATCACTCAGCAAAATGCGAATCTCTGTTTTACAACAGTTGAATGTATATACCAAGAGTTCCTTCCGGCAGCGCACTTTATAACGATCCACGCCAGAGACACGGGCCTCGCTCGATCGCAAGGTCGCCAGGTGTCCTGCCCTTTTCATCCTGGCAAGCTCACAAGTGTATGTAAGAGAAGTAAGAAAGGAAAGTAAAACGGGGCCGCATTAAAGAGGCCCAACCACCTTGAGTGTTCCCCGTTTAATATTATCTCTTGACCGTTGTTTGACTCAAACAAAGGATCAAAACGATAGTCACCCCGCACAACACCATTTCCCAAAGACAATCAGTGGCCCGGAGTCAGTGGCTGTGAAAGCATACAAGTTGCTTTGTCGCGCTTAGATGGCCAACTCTGAGAAATCCATTTCATAGATTCTCCTGCCTTGAACTGAAGCAGCGCTCTTTTGTCTGGTGCTAAACCTCACAGGCAAATGACAGTATCAAAAAATCTGTGCGGTTGTGTGTGGGGGGAAAAACAAGATTGCAGTAGCTTCCTGCAATACTTGGTTGCAAGAGCGAGGCATTCTACGTTCATTGACATCTTCACACACGAAGTCCGCAGCAAAAAAAGGGCATGGAAAGGCAAGCAATCTGACGCTCTCATATTTCTAATTACTCATATGGAGTCATGGCGTCATTACACTGACGCTCTCTTTGCGCAGGAAAGTGAAATTATGGAAGGGTGAACAGTTCCATATTAGAAGATATTGGAAGTTATATCGGTTGCAATATTTCCAGAACCACACGAGTTCGTGAAGCCATCTTCCTGACTAAAACTTGAGGCCAAGGGGGGGGCGAAAGCTAGCGCTCCAGAATGGGAAAGTGGAGGGCAGCGAGGTAGGAAAAAACACGGCGCTCTTTTTGGAGGCAGGGGTGAAGAGTCCTTTATATGTGGCTCTTTGCCCGGATCCTCCTGCGAGAGAAGAGAGAGAAGAGAGACGGAAAGACGAGAGACAGAGAGGAGAGAGAGAGAGAGAGAGGAGAGAGAGATGAGAGAGATGAGAAAGAGATGAGAGAGATGAGAGAGATGAGAGAGACAGTGAGACAGTGAGACAGTGAGAGAGTGAGAGTGAGAGTGAGCGAGTGCGGCCGCAAGATACGCAACGCTAACCGCATGCCAAAGAGCGACGACAGGACGGAGTCGAACTTGCGAAGAGGGAGGAGGGAGGGAGGGAAGATGGGAGGAAGACAAGGGGGGGGGGGTCTTCGACCTGAAAAATCAGGGGTTAGGATTTGCACCCGGTCGAAAGAAACCTTGCTATCGCAAGAGTAACTCCAGCTAGCTTCGCTAGCTTTCGTGAAAAGATTGACGTCTTATGTAAAGCAGCAAAGCATTTCAAAAACCCAACGGTTCTTTTGATGACATTTTAGTATATTTTAGATATTTTAGTGTGTGCAACACGACACGAAGGCAAGCATCTGCCCCCCACCCCCACCCGCGAAATCCCTTGAGATACACCTCAAGATCTGCCTGACTAAGAGATTTTGAGTGTGCGCAAAAAAACGCAACGATCCCTCAGAAAAAAAAGGACGGTCCTGATTTCAAATTTTCATGGGGTTATGTCACAAACGACACAAACCAGTGCGATGAGGACGCGTCCACGCCGTCCTAATTATCCTAAAAATGACATCGCAACACAACGCGAAACGAACGACTTTATGAGATGATGCCTTTCGAGTCTGGATATGTATGTATGTCTGTCTGTCTGTCTGTCTGTTTGTCTGTCCGTCGGTCTGTCTGTCTGTCTGTCTGTCTGCCTGTCTGTATGTCTGTCTGTCTCTCTCTCTCTCTCTCTCTGTGTCTGTGTCTGTCTGTGTCTCTCTGTGTCTGTGTCTGTCTGTGTCTGTCTGTGTCTGTGTCTGTCTGTGTCTGTCTGTGTCTGTGTCTGTGTCTGTGTCCGTGTCTGTCTGTGTCTGTGTCAGTGTCTGCGTCTGTGTCTGTCTGTGTCTGTGTCTGTCTGTGTCTGTGTCTGTCTGCGTCTGTGTCTGTCTGCGTCTGTGTCTGTCTGCGTCTGTGTCTGT